ATTCTAACCACTGCGCACACAGGTTGAGAGCTACCAGCGAGCAATCCGACTAGACCAATACCTCGCCGTCGCCTACTTCCAACAAGGCGTTTCCAATTTCCTCCTCGGCGACTTCGAAGAGGCTCTTGCGAACTTCAACGATACCCTCCTCTACCTCCGCGGCAATGCCATGATCGACTACGCCCAGCTTGGTCTCCTCTTCAAGCTCTACTCCTGCGAAGTCCTCTTCAACCGTGGCCTGTGCTACATCTACCTGCAGCAAACGGAAGCTGGTATGCAGGATCTCTCATACGCTGTCAAGGAGAAGGTTGTGGAGGACCACAATGTGATCGATGAGGCTATTCGCGAACAAGCAGAGGTTTGTGGATTCTACACGGAACTATTGGGCTATTGACTGATCAATTTAGGGCTACACTGTCTTCTCCATTCCCGTAGGAGTTGTGTACAGACCCAATGAAGCCAAGGTGCGAAACCTCAAGACCAAGGACTACCTCGGCAAGGCTAGACTCGTTGCCGCCTCGGATCGTTCTAACGCTTTTACCGGCTTTGCCGGCTCTGAGATCAAGAACGTAAGTCACCCTACAACTCCATGCAAGCTCATCATGCTCACAACTACAGGCTGGCAAGTTCGAAGTCAAGGACGACAGACCCGCCGACAACATCTCTTTCGCCGCCACAAACCTCGTCAAGCCTGGCCTTCAATCAAGAAGGCAACAATCTGAACCACCGGCCAACCGAAATGTATTTCCGCCAACACCCCCGCCCGAGAACGAGCGCCCATCGCGTGGTGCCTCCGTGCGCGGCCAGAAGCCTCAGTTGGCTAAACTCAACATCCAACAGGCCGAGCCGAACCGCCGCTACGAGAAGGCTGCTTCGCCCCCTGACGGCCGTTCACGACCGACACCCACGAGGTCTGCCTCGATCAACTCTGTCAGGCCCATGCAGAGGGATCCTCAGCCCCTGCAAATGAGACCTAGGCAAATCCCTGAACAGGAAAGCTTCCCTGGCGAAGTCTACGACATGTATCAGGGACCAGGTGGTTCGCGCAACTCAAGGGGATCAGCTGGTAGCAGACGACAGAGGCAACGGCGATACTCAGAGGAGGATGACGGCTCAGACTACGATGGGTCGATCAACGAAGGTGACTTTGAGATGGTGGGTGGTGGTCCCCGCCGTGGACCCGGGTCTGTAGCTGGCCGCCGCCGACCGGAGATGACCAAGATCCGAGTCAAGGTCCATGCCGACGAAGTCAAGCTCATCATGCTCTCCCCCAACGCCGAGTTCTCAACCCTTGTTGACAAGGTCCGAGACAAGTTCGGCCTTCGGCGTCGGTTCAAGATCAAGGTCAAGGATGAGGATGCGCCCAACGGTGACATGATCACCATGGGTGACCAGGACGACCTTGAGATGGTGATTGACGCTGTCAGGGATGAGGCGAAGAAGCAACGAACAGAGACTGGAAAGATGGAGGTATGTGAAGACTATCCCTGGATACCTACTTGAGCAGATGGCTAACTCTTGACGCAGATTTGGATCTTTGAGACTTAGACATATACCCCAACAGCGCGCATCTGCATTTTGGACATTGCCCATTCATCCCACAAACTCATGATTTGTGGGTGGACTACATCTATCCTCAACGGGACGGATCTCTTGTCTTTTCTTTTCTATTTCTTCTGACAATCTTGTCACTATTTTAATCTTGTATTTATGTTGGAGGCATGTCATGAGCTATCGGAGCATACCTAGGATTTCATTGTTAGAGAGGAATCGGAGTATAGGGGTCATGGGATGACTATCTAATGGTTGATTTTTGGGGGAGCTGACCAAAGAACAGGAAGGAAAAAGCCCAGTGTGTTGGGATTCCATTGTCTCGACTATCAATCATGACGTTATGACGTTTTCTTGTTCAATTCTTTGTTCCAAGAGAATGAATATTTTCATATTTTCATATTTCCCTCGACTTGTGTCTATTCAAAACTTGATGACTTTTTGAGTGGTATAGTACATGCGTGATGCTACAGTATGATACAAGACAATCGTGATAACGTTGAGTGTGAGGCTCCGAGATATCTGCATGCGTACGAATTGTAGAGCTGTGTCTAGGCGGCAGGTGTTAGACTGGCAGATTGGTTCAACCATGTCTGACGGAGGTCGTCCCCGCCCTGGTCCAGCTCATCAAGTAGCTTGCGCACAACGGCGGTACGGGAACGCCACTCCTCCTGGCCCAACACGTTGAAGAGTACGCGAGACGTCTTGCCGACGGCGTGCGGGCTGCCTATCGCGATGAGACGCAGGACGGCATGCAGATCGGGCGCCTGATCTGAGGGTACACGCTCCAGGAGATGATCGAGAACCAGTTCCCATGCGTCAAGTGATCCATTGACGGTGTCGTTGACGAGGTGAAGCAAGTCATGGCGGATAGGGTCAGAGGCCAGAGCAGCGCGGTAGACGGCCGGGGGAGGACGCCAGAAGAAATAGGGAAGTTGGCGAGCTATCTCGGCGGCACTACCATAGCGGGCGGTCTCATGAGAAAGAACCTCAAAGGCGTACGGCTGCTGGGAATCTTCGGAGAGCATGACCGGAACGGGGGATAAGGGGGCTGGCCAGATAAGGGAGGTGCCGCGGGGTTGGATAGGCTTGTATCCAACGGGGTCAGACATAGATGAGGCAGTGAGTGCGAGGACTTCGTCGACGAGAGGTTTGAGTAGGTTCTCCCGAATAAGGGCTTGCTCACGCGGTGTCTGCTCTGATAAGGGAGTCTTGAAGAGGAGGTTGCGGTACTCGTGCTGGAAGAAGTCGAGCTTCTGGGGGTTGAGTTTGATGCCACCACGGGTGAACTTGAATGTCAGCTGCGACAAGCGTTAGTGGGTAGTACAGATAACAAAGGTTGACTTGAACCTACAGCTTCGGCGACGTCGTCGAGGGTTCGCGGCGTTGAAGCTCCCCTCTTGAACGAGGCGCCCAGGTTGGCGAGCCAGGCCTGGAGAGCCATGGGAAAGATCTTTTGGTCCATGTACGTCGAGAGGTTGACGCTGTCGTTTCTCTTGCTGAGTTTAGAGCCATCATTGCTAATAAGGAGGCCTAGATGAGCAAAGGTGGGAGGCTTCCACCCAAATGCCTCGTAGAGAGCCAGATGCTTTGGTGTAGAAATGAGCCATTCCTGGAGTGTGTAAGTTATGAAATGCTTTTCTCCTTGTGGTAAAAATGAACACTCACCTCGCCACGGATAACATGGGTGATCTTCATGAGATGGTCATCCACCACATTTGCAAGATGATACGTAGGATACCCATCAGTCTTCATGAGTACAAAATCCTCCTCAGGCTCCTTCTTCTGGAAAGGCCCGTAGATGGCGTCCTTGAACCCGGGAGTGCCGAAACGGCCAGAGTCGAGACGAACAACGTGAGCCTCGCCGGCTGCGGCCCGGGCATCCGACTCAGCCCGGGGAACGGAGCGGCATGTCCCCGGGTAGGCGGTGGACTTGCCGGCGTCGTGGAGGGCGCGCTTCTGCGCTTCCAGGACTTCAGAGTTGCAGAAACAGCGGTAGGCGGAACCGTTGTCCACTAGTGTCTTGACATGCTCTTTGTAGATGTCAAGGCGCTCTGACTAGGGTGGTGTGTTAGTATCTGCAATACTGTAGGAGAGGGGATTAGTTACCTGACGATACGGAGCATAGGGACCGCCCTTGTCGGGGCCTTCAGTCCAGGAGAGGCCTGCCCATTCGAGATCTTTAAAGACACGCTCCTCAGCGTCGGGCACTAGACGGTTCTTGACTTTGAATCAGCAACAGTGTAGGAGAGATGAATGGGTAGGGTTCTCACCTGATCGGTATCCTCAATCCGTATGATGAACTCACCCCCCTTTGTCGCCTTGGCCACCAGATTGTTGAACAGAGCTGTTCTTAGAGATCCTAGATGCAGGTATCCAGTAGGCGAGGGCGCAAAACGAGTTCGAATTGGCTTGTCTGCAGATTGTCCGAGGATGTATCTTTGCTCGGTCTGAGTGCCGTCACTCTTAGCCTGATCACCTCGGCCACGCTTCTTCAAAGCAGCCAGCCTCGATACCCTTTCATTGGATTTTGCTTCTCTACCGGATTTTGCAAGTTTCTCGTCAGGATGTGGTTGAGTCGTTGAATCTTCTGGTTTCACTTTTTCAACAGGGTCTCTAGGATCATGTTGTCTGATGAGCGAAGTCGTAAAAGCCCGACGAACTGGCAACGGCCGGCGAAGCCATTGAACATGCGAGATGCATCTTGATAGCCGTGCTGAACGGCCTGCAGAAGGTATCATGATGTCAAGGGCGAGGCGCTCATGACAACCTTTAACTTAGCCGGGGTGAGGTCAAGTAAACGGAGCGACTTTCCTCATGAGTTCGGGAAGTTGGGGCGGTGCATTGAAGAGGTGGTGCGCCACAAGTGGCATGAATCGCGTGGATAAGGAAGGGGGCGATAAGAACTTGTACTTTTGTTATCGAGAATGTGAAGACATTGTGTTGATATTGCAATATTGCGTTTCTATTTAAAGAGACACGAGTCTGTTTGTTACATGATGCTAATAAATACTAGAAGAATATTCATATTTGTTTGTAGCAGTTCTCAACCCCTATTCTTGCTTGAGGGCCAAGTCTTACTGCCGCAGCCAAGCAAGCAAGCAAGCAAGCAAGCAAGGATGTTGCGATTAGGATTAGGCGTCAAACGACATGACGCATGTGAAGTTTTGGGCTTGTGTAAATAGGCTTTGATGGCAGGTGCCTAGTTAATAAGGGTGCTTTCCTTAGCTTATCCTTGGAGAACAAAGAGAGAGAAAATATTTTATATTTCAAACAATCCTCTTTGTTTTTCCACCTTTTTTATTTTGGCTGTGTCTGTCTGTGCTTTTGCTGTAGTCTACCCCGCGCTGGTTTGAGGTTGCTTGCGCCCGCCAAAAGATTTTCTTTGGACGGACTTGACTGGACCCGATCGACAAAGCGGGCTGCCTACCTTCTGTACCTCTTCCTCTGGGCGACCAATTCTTCATCCTGCATTACTGTTCCTACTCGATCCCCCAGAAAAACAAGCGACGAGATGGATGAGAACCCGTTCAACGCTGCCTCTCAGGGCGCTGAGGAGATTGATCTCTATGGTGCGTATCCCACCTGGTTGGGCAAAAATGTCTGCTTTCCATTCACAGCCTGACTAACTCGACTCTAGAGCTTCTGAGTATCGACAGAACAGCAACACCAGACCAGATCAAGAAGGCTTACCGCAAGGTACGTGGTCGCCAATCTACTGTCTCAAACACTCACCAACAATAATCACAATAATAGGCCGCCCTCAAGTATCACCCAGACAAGGTTCCCGAAGAGCAGCGAGAAGAGTCCGAAGCCAAGTTCAAGGAAGTCACCCAGGCCTACGAGATTCTCAGCGATGAGCAGAAGCGCGAGCTCTACGACGTCCACGGCATGGCCGCCTTCGACAAGTCCCGCGGCGGCCCCGGTGGCCCCGAGGTCGACCTCAACGACATCCTCTCCCAGATGTTCGGCTTCGGCATGGGTCCCGGAGGCCCTGGCGGTCCCGGTGGTCCTGGCGGCCCCCGCCGCCCGAGACGAGGTCCCGACGAGGACCAGGAGTACAAGGTGACGCTGGAGGAGCTCTACCGCGGCAAGACTGTCAAGTTTGCCGCCAACAAGCAGGTTCTCTGCGGTCAGTGCAAGGGCTCTGGCGGCAAGGAGAAGGCCAAGTCTTCGGCTTGTGAGCGCTGCAAGGGTAACGGCATCGTCGAGGCCTTCCGCCAGATCGGCCCCGGCATGATGCGACGAGAGACTGTGCTGTGCGACCACTGCCAGGGCGCCGGCCAGGTCTTCAAGGAGAAGGACCGCTGCAAGAAGTGCAAGGGCAAGCGGACAACCCAGGAGAAGAAGGTCCTCGAGATCTACATCCCTCGAGGTTCCATGCAGGGCGAGCGCATCGTCCTTGAAGGTGAAGCCGACCAGTACCCGGACCAGACCCCTGGAGATATTGTCTTCACTCTGGTCGAGGAACCTCATGACATCTTTAACCGTATCGGCCACGATCTGTCGGCCGAGTTGACTGTGACGCTGGGCGAGGCTCTATCGGGCTTCTCGCGGACAGTGCTCAAGCACCTCGACGGCCGAGGGATCCGCATCGAGAGACCACGAGGCAAGATCCTGCGACCCGGTGACATCCTCAAGGTGCCCGGCGAGGGTATGCCCATGAAGCGAGGCGATGCCAAGGGTGACCTCTACCTGATTGTCAAGGTCGAGTTCCCCGAGGATGGTTGGCTGAAGGACGACTCGGCGTATGATGCCCTGCAGAAGATGCTCCCTGCTGCCCCCAAGGACATTGAAGCCGAAGAGGTTGATGACGTTGAGTACGAGGACGACGCCGACATCGAAAAGGTGAGTTTGAGTACCCCAGACACGAAGTGAATTGGTAACTAACAAGAAACAGATGGGCGAGAGCGCTGGTGAACGGTTCGGCGACCAGTGGGAGGATGACGACGATGACATGGGCGATGGCCAAGCGCAGTGCCAGACGCAGTAAGCATATAATCATGTGCATGAAGCGAGCATAGAGCAGCGCAGGCCTAGAGACGACGCGAGTATCTGTCTTGGGTTAATGAAGTGACGACGATTTCAAGATCAGGGGGCAGTCAGCTCAAGCCAAGGCGGCCAGAAGGAGCTGACAGAGCCCAAAAGATACCAGGAATCTTTTTCAAAAAGGGGACAAACAGAGAGATGATGGTCAATGTTTTTGTTACGGATGAGGATCATCCATGGATTGCATCACCACTCTTGGATTCGGAAGAAGGGACTGGGTTTCACTCCGGAAGATGAGTGAAGGGTTCCCTTGCATGGGAAAAAAAGACAAAATAGATGCCCGTGCATATAGGAAAACATGTGCATTAGAACTTGACGTAGACTGTTGATGATTTGAACAGTTCGAGGCAAAAGATTGTCGTTGGTGAAGACAGGGAGAAGAGTTCACGTGATGTCTATCCCTTTAACACTAGAGGACCTCTATGGGCAGTTTGACTTCCATGAACGATCATTAAAAGACTAGGAAACAACCGAGATTGCGTTTCGAGGACCTCTACGGTTTCAGATTTGTAGTCAAAGTTGGCAACATGGGGCGAGGTACTTGGATGTTAAAGGTGAAGATCACTTACACTGAGAGGACGAACAGGAGGGGACGATTTACACGTCGATCGACCTGCAAATCGACACACAAATTTGAAGATCTATTTCCCATCTAGCATTTTGGGATTCTCAAGCTTCTATCATCCCTGCAGTCGAGGTTGAGACTCTTGGGGGCAGCTTATCGAGCAGGTCTCAGCCTCATTTGATGCACAACAACTCGCCAACGATACAGGCTTGATCAGGGTAGAGATTTCCATTCTTCTACTTGGCTCCATGCTCACCTATCAAGCATGATATCTTCCCTCTTGCTAAGAGGTCTGATGTTCCCTCGACGGGCATTATAGATCATAGTGAGTCAATGAAGCCGTGGAACGGCTAGCCCAACTAAACAAGAGTCCAGATAGTCCAAAGTATTTCAGATTTATATATACGTGTGTGTGTGTGTGTGTGTGTGTAGTTGCCCGGGTTCACCTTGGATGAAGTGTATATATCTCTACTCTGGAAGAAGTTGGCATGTCGTATAAGCTTCCGGAGAGCATAATCACCCAGCACTAACTCTGGGTACCTAGACAGAGCGTTATCTAGGAGTCTATTCACGACTATTAAAGAATATGCTCTTATTCATTCATTTTTTGTAAACACAAGTTGTAAGCCAACCTCACGTGGACAACGTATACCAACTTCGGAGCCAAACGTCGACCCCCCCACCCTTCGCCAACTGACGCAATCACGAGCTCCCCTCCAACCTCCAACCTCAACCACAAACCTACAACTCGACAGCCTTCCCTCTCACCAACCGCCCACCATGTCCCGCAAAGGCGTCGGCCTCGCCGCCTTTGACCGCTCCCGCCTAACATCCGCACACTACGCATCCCACGGCTCCTCCCTCCGCGCCAGCAACGCGCAAGCCCTCGAGACCCAGCTCGCCGTCTTCCGCTCCCTCCTCCAACAATTCGCAAACACGCACGCCCGCGATATCCGTTCCGACCCAGCCTTTCGCGCCCAGTTCGCTCGCATGTGCGCCGCCATCGGTGTCGATCCCCTCGCGAGCAGCAACAACAACACAGAAGGAGGAGGGGGCTCGTCTTCTATTTGGGCGCAGTTGCTTGGCAAGACGGTTAATGATTTCTACTTTGAGCTTGCTGTGAGGATTGTAGAGGTTTGCGGTGCTACAAGGGGTGAGAATGGTGGGCTTATTGGGCTTGCCGAGTTGAGGGAGCGTGTTGCTGCTGGTCGCATGGATGGTGCAGACCCCATAGCCGATGACGACGTTCGCCGCGCTGTGCAGACCCTCGCGCCCCTCGGTGGTTCCTACGCAGTTGTTAAAGTCGGTCGCAAAGAGTATATTCGGAGTGTGCCCCGCGAGCTCAACGACGATCAGGTCGCTGTCGTCGAGGCAGTTCAGGTCTTGGGCTATGTGAGCGTGGGCATGCTGAGCGATAACCTGGGCTGGGACCGCGCACGAGCAAAGACCGTTATCGATGATCTTGTTGCTGGAGGGATGCTGTGGGTGGACAAGCAGACAAAGGGCGAGTGGGAGTACTGGAGTCCAGGCTTCATGGCCGACGCAGGTGGTGCCGAGGAGGGAGGATGAGACTGCCGTGAAGCATCACATCCATCATACCCAAGTTCTCGGGTCAAGACCACTTCTCGAGCCAAATACATGGGAGAAACAACTCGCCAAGCTCAGCATCGCTTCAACGAGCTAAAGGCTATTGCGCCGGTCCTGGCCAGCCCAGTCTCAACCCTCGGTTCAACATCTCACTCGATCACCGACAGCATTCTCCCCTGGGCAACATCTGGGAGCTACACCTCAACACCGGACTGATTCACCACCACTACCTGAAGAAATAGAGGGAACCCTAGATGGTGGAAACCCGTTTCAAGCCATGAGCTATGGCTGCTACAGGAGAGCAATCACCACCGAGATCGGCCTCGTAGAATGACCACGTCATTGCACACCTAGATAGAACAGACGCTCTTAAAAGGCAGTACTGCCGGACGACATCTAAAGAAAAAAAAAAGAGGATAAATACTAGTTCGTTTCATTAACCAGCAGCCCGCACATACAAACATACACACACAGCAACTTTCTCAACTCTTCTGCCCACATCTTTCCTCCTCCAGATATCCTCTTGTAGATACATGTTAAATAGCATGAGTGTAGGACGAGAACTGGTCCTAATTCCCCCCGTGTCTCGGGTATATACTTGTCGAGCGACCTATCCGAGCCTGAGACTGTCGTCCTTTGCCCCTAATCGCCAAAAAGCCTTCGTCTGCTCTCGCTCACCTCGCCTCGTCCCCTTCATTTCCTCCTCTTTCAGACTCGACATCTGGGCAGCTGTGTTTCGTGATCATCTTCTTGGCTTCGTTTGGCTCGGATTGGCATTCGCATTTGGTCGCTTAGTAGGGGGGGTTGGGGCCGCCCATAGGGGGAGGGTAGTCGTCCCGGGGAGGGGGCATGCCGGCGGTAGACCGGCGGTCGTCGGGTCGGCGATCATCACCAAAGTGCTTCTTGCGGAGGGCTGCGAGACGCTTCTTCTTGGTGACGGTGTTGATGTAGGTACCAATGATGAAGGAGACGATGTTGAAGAAGGGGATCCAGAGCTGGTCGGGAAGGAACTTCTGCGCAAAGGCAAGGCAGATGGGAGAGGTGATCCACGAAACGCGCATCACCTTCCAGAAGCCGACCTTGACGGTGGCGCGAACCTGGTGGTAGGTACGGGCACCGGCGATGAGGGCCATGGCGACCAGGTAAACGCTGTTCTGGATAGGGGCAATCTGTCATGGTTGTTAGTTACTAATATCTCGCGATTCATACCCGAGATGCGCTTGAATTCCCATCCATTTGCGATATCCTGGCTCTTGTTGAATTGGTTTCGCCTTTCAGACACAATCGCGTTCCTTGTTGTGCCTCCCCCTTAAATCCACCTCCTGCGCAACATCTCGGCTAGACAAAGGAGTCGGCCACTTACAATCAGATTGCTGACCAGAATCTGCAGAATCTTGGCGCGCAGGCTGGTGCGACCCTTGAAGGTCTTCTGGAGCGCCCAGATAAGGAAGTGTCCAAGGGGCGCGCTGACGAGGGCGCCATACGCGGCCATCTTGGGAACACGGGCGGTAAAGTAGTTGCCATGCTTGTTGCGGTCCTTGGCGAGCCACGAGGCAATGAGCTCCTGGGCACTGGCGAGGGTGCCTGCGGTGAGCATCTTGGTGCGCAGAGGGTTCGCCTCAAGCTCCTTGATGTAGGCCTGCTGTCACTGTCAGTCAGGGTTCGGGACGCGGCTTGCGCAAGCGTCTGGGCCAGCATTCGGCCGTGGAACCATGGTTCAACATACCGCCAGGTAGCCCTTGGTGCCAGCATTCTCCATACCACCGGTCAGAGCTGTTCCGATAACAGCAGAGACGGGGTGGTGGCCCTTGGTGCCGGGGATCTTTCCGGCCTCAGCCTGGTCGAGCATCTCGCCGACCCTCTCGTGGGCGCCGGACACCTTTTCCGACACCTTCTGCATGGTTTCACTTTTGAACTCGACCATGGTTGCGGTTTCTCAATGCGTCGTCGGTGATGCTGAGTGGGGTGATAAATAGGAAGCGCGTCTCGGGAGGGAGGTAGGATCGGGATCGAACTAGCGATAACGTCTTTGGTGGTCTCGGTTCAGGTTCCTCCAGTTTGAATGATGCTATACTCGAGTCGACTTGTTTCTTTGCGCGCGGCGTCTCGTCTTGGTCGGCGTCGGTGTCGTTGTCGTCCTCGTCAGATATAGTCGTCGGAGTCAACGCGGCGGCGGCGTCGTCATCAACAGGAACGGGAGAGGGAAAACACGCGCGGGAGAGACGTGACCTAGCTCGTTAGTATCGTTGGTTCGACACGGAGGGCGACCACAGTGGGGTGCGAGGGTTGATGGTCGATGTTGATGGCAAGGACAGAGGGAGTAGAGGTTCTCAACACCATCAGGACACGGACGACGAGCCCCAACAAGACCGTCGAGAGGGCACTGAGAGGTGAGATGGGGGTGGGTCAGAGCCAATTGAGGCTCTCCAAGGTGATGGGCCAATGGGTTTGTTTACCCTTTGACGGGATAACGCCAGAGGGATCAGGAAGGGGAGAAAGAGGTCGATGATGAATGATGATGATGATGTTGTTTACTTGGGGCCAAGGGACGGGGCGAGGACCGCCTGTCCAGGGTAAGCCATGGACAAGCAGTCGACATAAAAAAAAATGCATCATGTACTTACAGGCGCCGTGATGATGATGAAGATGGCAAGATGGGGGAGGTGAGGAGTGGAGTTGGCGACGACGAGGTCGTGTAGGTAGTTGGAGCTGGCTGGTGTTGATTTGGATTGCCTGGGTCTGGGCTGGGTCTGGGGGGCGTGGACGTGGACGTGGGCGACTCACGGGCGGCGGCGGGCGAGAAGAAGCGAGCGGAAGGAGATGAGATGAGGGAAAGAGCAGAACAGACAGGAGCTCAGCTCACTCCTTCTCTGGGGAGCTGGCTGCAGCACGGAGAGTACAGGGGTCAAACCTCTGGAAATGGGAAAGCAAGGTGGCTGGGGGACACGAGGTAGCGATGATGTACTTCTTTAGCGCAATCCCCCACCGAGTGTACCTGGTCGCTACAACCCATGGCGCGCCAGACAAGACCCGGACAGGACCTCGGCCCGCCTGGCTACGTCCAATCACGAGCCCGAGACGAGCGAGGTTTGGCGTGTTTGCCCCTGGATGGCCCCAGCTTCAGCTCAGCTCAGCCCAGCCCAGCCAATTCTCCCCCCGGCCCAGGGCTCCATCCACAGGCCGTCGAGGTACGCAGGTCATAACATTCAAATCAACAAGTACCGCGGTCTACCTACCTACTCCCTCGAATTCAGGGCCAATCAGTCGTCCTGCAGAGATGCGTTGGACGTGCTGGAGCCAGCTTCATCTCTGCAGCTCGCTTCGGCACCCTCGTGACGGACGGAAGCTTCTTTCTTGACAATCAGCAGCCACAACTTTGAGGCCATCATCCCCTCCCTCCTCTACCGTCCTCCCCCCAAATCTCCATCGGTTCATCCCTCGGCACCTACTAACCTAATATTTCATACATCTCCTCTCCTCTCCTCTCTTTTATTTACCGACACCTCTTCCCGCACCGCGCTACTCCCCTTCTCCAGACCCGAAACTACCGAGGTGTCCGTCCTCCTCCTAGTTTGATTCTCTGCTTACATGACCTACCATGTTCGGAAAATTGTCCCGAGACGCCAGGCCGGCCATCAAGACGGGAGAGAGTAGCCATTGAAGAAAAAAGCGAGTGGCTGGTTAAGACGTCAAGGATCTCTTCCACTTTCACGTGAACTCGTCCCTTGTGATTGGGCCTTTGCCCTCTCTCGGTTCCTGACGCATCAACAATACGACATTCATGCACCACAATACCACTGCGACATCACCATCAGCTTCTCAGAAATTCAATCAGTCGGTCAGTCAATCAGTCAGTCAAACACACCGCAGAGGCGAGGTCCGAGGATTCAATTCGTCGCAATCCTCCCTCGCGTCTGGGCCATTCATTTCCTAAAGACGCCTACCGCCGCCTATAACCTAACACAAGAGGGTGCCTTGATGGGCATGTCCAGAACCCGAAGCCCTACTTCCCAAGATGATCAAATCGTGAAGTGAACCAAGAAAAAAAAAATGAAAAAAGAAACAGATGACGCTCTCATATCGAGCCATAGCATAGACTCCTGGTCATTCCATTGAAGCTCGAGCTTCCGATTTCGCTCCCTCTCGTGTTTTGCTGCCTGCCTATAGCGTGCCTCGGAGTCGTTGCTTTCTTGCCAACCAGTCTCCAAGCATATTGTCGAGTTGCTATACAGTTGTTAGTATTCGAATGTGGCAACGTCGCCTCCTGAAGATACTCACAGTCGTAATCTCTGCCAACTTGGCGTTCTGCTCCCTAAACAGCCCGCTCACCACTGGATGATCCTTGCCCGCTGGTTCGACGTCCGTCTTGTCGTACACAACCATGAGGAGGTCCCGAACATGCTCGCCGTCATCAAAGAATGCCCGTAGCTTCTCGTCGTCCCAGCCAGCCTCCTTGCTCCTCGTAGAGCTGCTGTCCTTGGGAGTGTCGGCTCCATGCATGAGCTCTGGCGACGGCACTTCGGATGACGACCGGCCTTCCTGAGACGAGGTGTCGATCTCCAGTGCCGGGGGACGCGTCACGTTGACAGGCGACACATGCACCGGTGATTCTGACAGACGATCCTGCTGCTGCTCCTTGCTTGTGGCTGCTGCCGCCGCCGAGTTCTGGCCTGGTGCAGCCTCAAAGCTATCGGGGAATGCCCCTGGGAGTTGTGGCCGTAGACCAGCCCCTTCAGCCTTCTGCTCCTTAGCTGGCTCTTGCGTCGGCTGTGCTTCGGGCTCCGAGGCATAATCATCTTCTGAGCTTTCCAGCTCATCCAGATCCGTCAACGGCCGGGGCTTGACTGTCCTGGCCGTTCTGGGCTGTGTTCCTGTGCTGGCACTACGGCCAAGGGCCTTGGCCAACGCCTTGGTATCGTCGTGCTGTGCGGCGGCGGATGCTGACCGTGTCCTGGTCACATCACCGCCAACATGAGTATTGGACGGCAGTTCCTGTGTCTCTTGCGTCTCGGGGTCCACGAGCCGCATCGAGGCCGGTGGTACGTTAGACACGTCGTTGGTCCGGGACTCAGCCAAGTAAGCGGCAAGCTCCCTTGTTGAGGACTGCTCCTGTGATCCAACAGAGTTCTTGCGTGACAGCGAGGGCTCTGTACGCGGCATCTGCTTCTGGAGCTTGCTTGGGTTTCGTTGAACTGGCGACGACACCTCCTCGATCGACTCGCTGTCCCGGGTATCCGACACAGTGTCCATCGACCTCTTGCCAAACGACTCGTCGTCATCATCGATCGACTTCTTCTTGTCTTTCCTAGAGAAGAAGCTTCGAATGGCACTGGGCTTCTTCTCCTTCTCTTTCCGGGCCTTGTCCTGGATCTTCTTCTTTTCCTTGTCCGACATGAGCTCCTTATCCATTTTATCCAGGCTTGTCCTTGCTTTGATATCCTTGGTGATGGAGTCTTGAGATGGCCGGGGCTGGTTGTCGTCCCGCAAAAGGTTTGGTGTCAGCGTGATCTTCTTGGTCTCCACAGTCTCGTCTCTGTAGAACGAGTCTGTGTTTCTCACAGTGCCGTTTCGTGATTTGCTCGGGCCCTCCAGCTTGCTGTCCAGGAGTATCTCTTCGCTACTCCTCGTCTCATCCTCCTCTTCGACCGTCTCGACCTTTGTAGGCTCAATAACCAATTTGACGTTGGAGCGAGGCTTGAGTGGTTCCACCTTGGCACTCTCCTCTGATGAGTCGTCGTCTTCCACAACTGATATTGTCGATGTCTGCTGGGTATCCTTCTTCTGTTCTTGTTGCTGGGTGGATTTAGTTGTTGATTGACCAAATAGGTCATCCAGATCTTCTTCGTCGGTTGAGTAGTCGTCAAAGTCCGAGTAGTCGACATAAGTCGGCGGAGCAAAAGTTACCGTTTTCCGTCTTAGCCGTATAGACGGCTTGAATGTCGGTTGCTTCTTGTCTGTTTGATCTCCTAGCATCGTAGCAGAAAGCTGCAAGCAATATCAGTTTCAGGGCCCTTTTCAAAGGTAGAGAAGCACATACATCGACGTTCCTGTGTTTGTTCAAACGGGCTAATCGTTCTGTTGGCGTCTCGATGTGTTCCGCAGGCAAATATCCTGTGGGGGTTGGTCAGCCTCCAGCCCAGCCCATCTCAGCACAAGACCTACCAATACTGCTGTCCTTGACAACTCTTACCAGCCACCAGTAGCTGTTGCTGTCATCTAGCAGAACCATGGTATCACCCTTGGTGGCATTCGCCTGGCCTTCGACCGTGGCAACGAACGTGTGGAGTGCATAAACGAACTCGAAATCGATGTCCTCTGTTTCTTGTAAGCATTCTGTCGCCCAACCAGAATCAACATAGCTCGGATCGCTGGGAAGGGAGAGGGAAGAGTCATCGTCTTCGTATGATTCTTCGTAGGGGACGGTCAGGGCAAGATCGTAGTCGTCGAAATCGTCGTCGTGCTCGTTTTCCTGCTGGTGAGTTTCTTCGTCGCTCGTGTCCGAAAGATTCAAGACTGACTTGCAGTCATAGAATATGTCCTGCTCCCTGTTTACCGATACAGTGACTCGCCTCCTTATGCTTGATCCTTCAGAAGAAGGGTGCTAGCCTTCGTGAATGTCGGATTTTGCTCTCACCACCTCTTTCTGAACCTTCATCCCATGCCTTTCTTCCTCATCTTCGGGTGTTTGGTGAAACTCGGCTGTGGTGGAATCGAAGCTCGCATCGGTTTCGGGATCGGAGTCGGTTTCGTCGGCGTCGTTGTTGCGGTCGGTATACTCACCCCGAAGACGATGATTCTGGATTGTTGCGGGTAGTGCTCGCGGCAGCTGGGCAAGCTTGCCGGGGCTGGGTGTATAGCTGAGAGGCTCAGGGTATGGCGAACAGACCCTGGTGACACTTGAACCAGAGGGAGTGGGAGAACTACTCCGTAGCGATCCGGGTAGAGAAGAAATTCGACGCGGCCATGCCCGAGGGGCAATGACGGGGCTGTACCCACCATCTTCAATCGAGGGAGAACTCGAGATCTTGTCCATCATGTCATCGTCGAGGTCGTCAGCGTCGCCGTCGAGGTCACCCTCGTCCGAGGACGAGATGCCTCCGTTCTGCGCAATGGCCAGCGCATCCTCCTGCACCATCTTTCCGTTGATATCGTCGTTGTCGTCAGCAGCGCCTCGGAGGCGGGAGTTGGAGTTTGAGCTGGATCCCGTGGGACCGGCGACAAGGTCGTCGGCGAACCGGTGAATATCGTCAATGCCGTTGCCGTTTTCCCACGAGACGCGCGGGGAACGGCGCTCTTCGTCGGCGGTGTCGCTGATAACTTCACGAATGGTCTCTGCCTGGTGGGGCGAGAGGGAGTTGGGGGAGGAGACGGTGCGAGCGGTCTTGGAATGGTCCTGAGCGGATGGAGCGTGGTGGTCTTGGAGATCGATGGTATCTACAGGGGCGCAAAGCGGTCGCAAACGTTAGTTAACCCTGTCAAAGAGCGTTTTGCGGATGAAGCGTGGAAATGCAAAAAGAACAAAAAACAAGGTCAAAGCCGGGAGGTTGGAATGGAGGTATCGTGACATGCATCGGCCCCCCGAGCGAGAGGAAGCCCAGGGAGCTTGGACGGCAGTCGGTGGGCAGGGGTTGGCGAGGGTAAGATGAAACGTAGGCAAGAGAAGCGTAATCAAAGAAGGATACCTAAGATAGGGATGCTTTGGACAGTCGAGATTCGGGGGGTGTAGAACTGGGGACCGAGTGTAGATGTAAAGGGGAGAGGGAAAGCTGTAACAGGGACGGAATCAGGATGAGGAGTAGTGAGGCGCTGCGAAAACACCAGCGCATCTCTCATCCGCACCTCAGGGACAGAAGCAGGACAGAACAGAAAAAGACACGAATAGGGACATACCGGCTCGGACAATGGTTGGTCGTGTCATGGTGACGGGCGATCAGGACGGGCGTGGTCGTCAAAGCCACGAACGACCCACGAGGCACAAGGCACACAGCGATGGCTTTTTTGCGAGCCCCTGGTTTGGAGAAGCGCCGCGCCTCTCTTGCCGTCTGTATCTTTTTTTAAATTTTGATCAAGGCCTTGTCCTGGGGGCCGGTTTTTTTTCTTTGCTTTGCTGGTTGCTGGAGGAGGCCCGGACACTGAGCTGAGCCTTGTTCGCACTGTTGGTCGGGTGTCGCCAAGGTTTTGTTTGCTTGTCTTCCTTGCTTCCTTGCTTTTCCGCCTCAGATGTTGGATATCAGCTTGGTCGTCGTAGTAGTCGTACTCGGTGTCTGCCGTTCGCGTTGCGTTGCGCTGCTCGTCGGTGCCCAGTGGCCAGCCACGGGATCGTCCAACATGAAATCTGCCTACGTATTCTGAAAAGAGGCGCGGAACGTGTTTGGGAGGACCGACGGCTCGAAGAAAAACTGGAGAGGAAGAGAGGGAGTGACGACGATCTTTGCTCCCCGGGTCCGTGTGTCTCGACTTGCACCCCGTGTCCCGTGTGAGGAAGCAGAATGAGTTGGCGTCGGGTGGCCTATGGCCCAAGTTTCGTTTCGTGGCGGGCCCTGGGTTGGGCTGGCGCAGGCGCTGGGTAGAAAGGGATTGATTGATTTGATTCCCTGGAGACTCCACCGTTGGCGCTGGCACACTACTGAGCAAGGGTGGTTCGTTCGTTGATGTTGTGCTGTGCTGTGCAGTGCTGAGCTGAGAAGAGCAAGCTTGCAGAAGGATTAACGGAGAAGCCTCTCTTGTTCGTCTTGTCCTATTTGAGTCGCTTCCTGCGCCTTGCAAATCTCCCCCTCTGTTGTCTCGCTTCGGTCTCTCCGCTCTCTTCAAATCAAGACCAGGTGCAATACCGATGGATGACGGAGTAGCACTACCGGAGCGGGAGGGGAGGGATTGTCGGGCGGCGCCGTTTCAATTGTCAACGTCAAAACGGCTCCCTCCAGACTTTTTTTGATAAGGAAAATTTGAAAAGATTGGAAACGAAAGTGGAGGCCGGGCCGCTAAGTCGGTCAGGCCATTGAATTTGGGCAAGAAAAGAAAGCAGTGCGCGCGCGTAGGTAAAAAGGTGTGATGATGTGAGGGTGAAGAGTTGGTCGAGAAAAAAAAGAAGGAAAAAAAAAGTGACAGACGTCAAACAGCGAATTCCAACAGCAGGGGGCTAGATGGCGTTTTCTACTAGAGCTATATCTGAGTCTGGCTGTTTGTAGTCTCCCTGCAAAACCAATGACAATTAGAGACGGTCAATGCAAGAGAAGAAAAGGTGACAGCGACAATGGAGAGGCAAAGTCCCGTCGATTGAGTTCCATCATGTCGGCTCTACTCTTGCGCATGCTCTGTGTAACGCCATGCATCTGACACTATAGGTACCCATCCCAGCCTCACCCCATTACGCTCTGGATGGATGGGCCATAGTTTCATCTACAAAAAGAAAGCAAAGCAACTTCACCGCTACACACACACAACCTGATATCCCATGGATCGCGCGCGTCGCGTTCCTTCTGGAATCTCGTGTCCCTGCCTGTAGCCCATTAAAACCCCTGAACAGCCTCCAATGCCTAGCGGTTCCAGGAGCTTGTAAACTTTGGCCCTAACGCGTCCGGGGAATCGCCCAGGGCACCCGCGCCTTGACACCCTGGGAAGTGCTGAAACGACTGAAGCAGTGATGGGTCCCTGTCAGGGGAAGTTAAGGTCTCTGTCTGTTTTGATTGGCTATGAATCCATTCTCCCTCGTGGGATGGGAGATTCCGTCTCTGTCTTCCATTGCGCTAACAATTAGGTACGTACCACGTGCCTCACCTTTTCCCAGTGTCGTCGAATTTGATGGATCTGATATCACCATCACCACGTCTCAGCCGCCTTTGAATGTGATATCACAGCCTCTTACGCTATTCATACTTCTTCACTTAACCTCAAGTGAGGAAACAACTCTCTCAATCTCCACACTCGGATATCCCGCACCTCTAGACCAGAAGCCTCCCTCCCACTCGCTCAACACTCCATCACAGCATGCTCCGGCATGCAGCACAATTACTCAACATGCCATTCTCGCAAACCAACGAGACACACACAACCTCGGCAATGCGGGTGCAAAGAGGGGGAAAATATTGTATCCTCATCTCTCAGCCGTGTCAAGCACGTGTGCCAATGTCCGTTCATAGCATGCGAGGATCCTGCATAGCCAGTGTCCCGTATATATACTGCCACGCCGTCTGCATGAAGAATCATGCACCTTGTGAGCCCATGAGGAGACGGCCAGCCATCTACGTCTGCGAGGCCCTTGCCGTCTCGCCTATCTGAGCACGTATTTGGCTCTAGTCCTGTTTAGTTTCCAAGTACCTACATATGTTCTCGCCCACTGGTATGGATGGAAGAAAAGCATCTCCTCCATCGCCTGATAACAACTGGGAGTTACGCAAGGCTTGGCCGGCTCAATAACGACCTCGAACAAGCTCACATGCTAGCGCCAGAGGAACATTACTCTCAGCCAGTCCTATTCCCAGCTGCAAATCTATCCCACACAAGAGGAGAGCGCGCGCTTGGAGCACATCTTTCGAAATACCGCACTTTATCGATTGCCGCGCCTAGCACATACTCCTCCTCTCATCCATCTGCAGGACGTCATTTCTCCGGACAATCCGAACTTCAAACAAAGCCCAATTACGATGCATGTCTCTCCTCAGCGGGCTTTCTACGGCATCAGTCTCATCCAATCCTTTTTGTGGCTCAAAGGTAATTAGACACTCAATGACCACCGTGATATCACGTCACAGCTTGTCTGGCAAAGCGTATTGAACTTCGAAATGATTCATTATTATCGACTACTTGGATGCAGTCTTTTCTGACTTTTCTTTAACCTTCCCAATGGAACCGTTACCCATGTATAGGTCCATGCCAGGACCTCCCAATGCTGCAAACACACCGTAACTATGCTCATCTCTCATCGAGGCACAAAAACAATCATGCTATGCTGTGAAATATAATCAAATAACACGCTCAAACACCGTTTTATTCGTCGCGAGCAGGCAACTTCTAGTTGTCGGCAATCTGGGCCATGCGCTTCGACATGCTGTTATACTAGTTAGCATTTGTTGCATTCAAGAGATAGGCGGTTACACTTACAAGTCGTAGAAGGCAAACTGGCTGGGGCTGCTACCGAACTCGTACACGAAGCGGCTGGCAAGGTAGCTGCCGAAGATGCTGCGGAGGTACGAGTCGGGGATGCGGGCAATCAGGGTGTCAAGGCCAATCTTCTCCTGCAGGAGGTGGGGAAGAGCATCCTTGAGGACAGAGCGGCGGATCTTCTCGTTGTCCCAGAGGTCGGAGTGCTGGAGCTTCTCATCAAGGTCGGTAATGGCAACCGAGAGCTTGTCGGAGAGGACAGATCGGGGAGTACCAGTCTCCTGGTGCTCACGCCAGATGGCCTCGAACTCAAGACGAGCGTTGTCCTGGATCTTGAGCTGAACCTGCTTGACGTAGTCCTTGTAGAACTGAGGAGCCTCGCCGTTGGCGTTGTGGCACATGTTCTCAACGAAGCCCTCGTCGTCAAAGGACAGAGAGGCAAGAACCTCAAGGGAGGACGAGGTCACACCACCCTTGTTGGCAGAGGCATCCTTGTAGAGGACACAGCCAGCAGCCTCAAGACGGAGCTTGGCGTCCTGGGTGATGAAGAGGTTGGCACCCTCAACGAGGTAGGGGATGAGGGACTTGCCGTCCTTGATGAGACGGTTGACGGTGATGAGGTCAATGGAGGCAGGGCGGCCACCGCAAGGGACGAAGATGTCGACAGAGCTGTTCTCGCGGAGGTGGAAGGTGTTGCGGAAAGAGGTACCGTTGTTGACAACCTCGCCGCTGGGCAGGGTCAGGTTGGCATCGTCGCACAGGACGCGGTAACCCTCAGAGGACAGCTTGGAGGCGTCATACTCGATGATCATCTTGCGGTTGTTGGCGAGGCGGAGGAGCTCATCGCGGTCAAGACCCTTGGGGTCAGCGAGGACACCAGAGCCATCGACGATGGCAGTGTAGGTCTCGTTGGCGAGCTTGATCTCGTTGCTGCCCAGGTCACCGTCGGGACCACCAGTCTGCATCTTGCGGATGGTAGAGGGGTCAAGCTCGAGCTTTCGGTAGATACCCTTGACGTACTCGCGGACGGACAGAGTGGTCATACCGTAAGTGTCGTGGGGAATACCACCAAGCTTGGGAGACTTGCCGGTGAAGAAAGACTTCCACCAGGGGGCGTTGCGAGAGCGAGCGTGCTCAGTAGCCCAGTCAACCAGCTCAGCAGTGTTCTCATCGGGACCCAGGAAGAGAATCTCCTCCTTGCCGTAGAGGTCGACAATGGGGTTCTTGATGCCGGGGGTCTCGGCGGGCAGGAGAAGATCAAGGATACTATCGATGTACTTCTCGAAGGCCTCGCGGGCGCGGTCCTGCTGCTTGGGGTCAAGGAGAATGACACCCTTGGAGCCACCCTCAGGGATATCCTTGTTCTTGCGCTGCTGGGTGCTGGCAAGGCCGTAGTTCTCGTCAAAGAGGTTGCGAGCGTTGATGCTGTAGGCCTCCTTGCTGCGAGACTTGACGATTCGGATACCACCACGAGAGATGTCCTTGAATCGAAGGTGGAAGCCTCGGGACTCGGAGCTGATGACGAGGAACATGCCGTAGAGGGGCTTGGGGTACTCAACGTCAGGGAGGAAAGAGGGGTCGAGACGGAAGCTCAGGGCGACCTTGGTAGGGGTGAAGTAGTTGGTCTTGAGGATGGCGGCGTTGAACACGCGGAAGGCAGTGAGGACCATCTCATCGTGCTCGTTGTTAACGTTCTTGGCGATCTTGTCCTTAAGAGCCTCGTCGGAGAGAACCTCGACAGACAGGCTGGAGGAGACAACCTTCACGGGGTCCTCCTGATCCTTAAGAAGGTGGACGTTGGCGAAGGAGGCGTAGAGAGCGCGCACGAGGCCGGGGTAGTTCTGAATAATCTCATAGATGTAGTCAGGGGTGAAGGTCTCGGAACGGAGACGGCGCTTAAGGTTGGAGAGGAGAGCCTGCTGGGTGTTGTTGCTGACATCCAGGAGCTCGGAGAGAGAGGCGTACTCGGGGCCCAGACGGTTAAGGAAGTGCTGGACAAAGACCCAGGCGGAGTGGGCATAGACGGACTCCTGAAGGCTCAGCTGGCCAGAAAGGAAGAGGTTGTGGAACTTGTTGTGGGGGAGGCAGTAGAGGAGAGAGACCTCCTTGGAGATCTGGTCAATCGACTCCTCGTAAGAGGGGAACTGAGCGGTCTGGCCGTTGAGCTGGGGAGTAGGTCGGAGGTAGACGGACATGACGGTGATGCCGTTGGAGAACTGCTCCAGGTACTTTCGCGAGGAGGTGACGCCATAGTAGTGGTAGAGGTCGCTCAGGGCAGAGAAGAGACCATGGGCAGAGCGAGATCGGAAAGCGAGAACCATGCGCTTCTCGTCAGTGTCCTCGATATCAAAGACCTCAATGACGGGACCAGCCCGGCCGACGGCAAGCTCAATGATGTCCTGGTAGATCTGCTTGGTGTTGGCAGTGGCCTTCTGGAGGAAGCCCTGGTCGGCAATCTTCTCAAGGTTGGTCTCCTTGGGGTCGGTCTGGGCAGGGGGGGTCTTGAACTGGCACTGGTAGACGAAGTAGCATCGCAGGGTGGCCTTGGAATCGGGGCTCAGGACGGCGGGAGAGCGGAAGGTCTCAACACGGTACTTGCTGGAACCGACGTGGTCGATGTACTTGGCCTCGAGGCGCTCCTCGTAGCGAGGGCCAGAGACGTTGGTCTTGCCAGCAATGCTGGTGTCGATGTAGATGGCGTGGTCGTTGGCCTCCATGTCGATGCGGATCTCCTCCTGCTTGTCCTCGCGGGCAAAGGCAGCAACCTTGGCAGCGTAGAGGGAGGTGATGTGAGAGCTGATGACAGCAGGGGTCTCGATGTGGAAGTAGACATCGTCGATGCCGAGCTTCTCGTAGAACCACTCAATCTGCTCATCAATCTGAGCCTCGGGGACCAGGCCAGCCTGCTTGATGATGTCCTTGACGGCCTCCTTCTGGGCCTTCTTGCCGGTGAACTCAGGGGCGATGTAGCCAACAGTGGCAGAGCGCAGGACGCGGTGGCCGTTGCCGTTGCCATTTGACAGGGGAACACTGAAGTGAGCGGGCTGGGGAGAAGGGCCACGGCTGGCCTCAGCCTTGAGGTTGGCCACGGGGTCGGATGTGGAAGACATTATTGATGATGATTCCTCGAAAGGATCTGTGTATCCGGGAAATCTATCAGGCGAGGGGTCAGCCATTGAAATTGGTGATTGCAGCATCTTGGCTGTGTTGTGCTGGTGACAGCAAAGTGAAGTCTAAGTGTAAACGATTGGAAGGGGAATGAACGATGACGAGAACAACAACAACAGCAAGCAGCTGTCCGAGTGTCTTTTATAAACATCCCGATCAACAACGGAATTGGAAAAAGGACAACAGTCCTCTTTCCATATCCGCCGACTCTCGGCATCCATGGCATCAGCTCGTGAGTCAATGGCAACCGCGCATCGCTGATACAGGCCCGCTGACGAGGTGACCAGCGGGCGCTGTTTTGCCTCTGTGGCTGCGCCCGTGATCCGGTGCCAGACGATCCAGTGATCGCATAGAACCCCGTGCCGCAAGGCTGGGTGCTAGTTCTCCGGGGAGCCCATGCAAGATGGGCGCCACCGGTTCGGGATCGCAAAAGGCAAAACTCAGCGGGCGGGCCTGCGCCAGTGCCAGCTTCACCAGCTCGGCAGAAGCATGCAGGCGTTATCTCGGGGCTCTGATACGGGAGAGACATGCCCGGTGAGATCGGCTTTCACCGCCGGGCCGGCTCTCGTATCGCCCTCATTGGGCAGTGCAAATCAGGGGAAACACCAATGGATGGGTCCAGGGATTGCGATAAGGATATTTTTGGGGCATTGCTCTGATGACGGGAGGCAGGTATTTTCCAGATAACAGGTTTATCTGCTACTTACCGGTAAGAGTTTTTGTTTTTGGTAGGTCAAGGGGGTAACCGTGGCGATCAAATTCGTCACTTGGTCAAGAAGCGTGTAAGTCGGGAATGCACGTCTTGGAAGATGGCAGGAAGATGTCCAACAACAACGAGACAGCGGGTTCAGCTGTCTGTTTTCGGTTGTTTGATGGTTTGGCGATTCTCAATTGAGAGGGTTGGGGTTATAGTTCTGACACTGGGTTAGCACAGCTGAACCAGTGTTGTGCATGTTTGCTTCGGAGTGCGCGTACTCAGCACAGCCATCCGTCAGCACTGACTGTCGTAAATAGAAACTGATGACGGCCCGAGCAAGAGATAACAGCAGTTTCTCTTGATACGACGAGGGTCGGAAATGAGGTAGGTCTGACAAGTATGTCGAGGGGGGGATGATATATATGCGGGAGAGGTAGATGAGGATGAGGATGAAGGAAGAATCTCAAGAAGAGATGGGGTTCTTTTGAGGGAAAAGAGATCGAGGTCGAGAGACTTATCACACCAACTTCTCGAGTCAGGAACACATTTGGGACTGGCGATGGAAGCTTTAAATACTCTGACCTTGAGTGTCTCTCAACAATGACCAAAGAGTGTACGATGGTACTTCCACTTGGTCCCTGATGGAGACGGAGGTACGTACCTACCTTACCCACGCCTATGCTCCTCCGTGCCTTCCAGGTTGGATCCAATATGTCAACATGGGCCCTCGTTATTGCCTTCTCTTTCTCATGTCACGCCTCAAAAAGGTTGTCACGCTGTCCCTCGAAGTCCTCCCTGCTTCCTTCCCGCTCACCTTTCCCTTTCCCACACCCCCCGGCCCCTGCTTTTGGGTTGGTTTGGCTGGGGGAGTTTGTTCAAGGTGGGCGTGGGCCAGTTGAAGGGTGTGTATTTTTTCAGAGTCTCCCTGTCCTGCCCTCAAGGGTAGGTAGCTTAGGTAGAAAGAAAAAAATAAAATAGGGACCAGGCGGCACTGTTGCGCACCCCGGCCCCGCCACCAGCCGTCCAGGCCCTGTGCAAAGAACATGTTTGCTCGCAACGGGCTACTCCAGCAAGTGAAAAATTGACCCAGCCCAGCAAAAACTGAAAGGAAAAAAAAGAAGAATTCGAAGGAAGACATCACCGGCCCGGTCGCCTCGAGGCCTCCCCATTGGTACCACCCCCCTTCTGCAGCGGAGCAATTGAGTGGCCCAGCTCAGCCCGCCAGAAGAGAAGAGTCGAGAAAGAAACAACGCCCCCGATCGTGATCATGACCTCACGCCGCGCAAAAAAGGTCCATTCAATTACCCAATAGTGCCTCTGCTCTAAACCTCAAGAGGAAGTCCTTTTCTGGATCCTGTGTTGTGCTGGACCGAGCGCCCGGTTCCTGGCCGCTCAGTGTTCCCAGGAACGAAGACTCTCACAAGGTCCCCAGGCTTGCTGAGCTTTGCCCAGAAGTGCCATGCCAGGGAGGCCAGGTGAGTGGGGAAGGCCTTGCCGGCCCCCGGTTATTCGAGGCTCTGCGTTTTGCACGTAGGAGGAGCCTTTCTCCAGGTTCTCGCTTGACATCAGTTGCTGGAATTGGTTGTGAGAGGTTATCATGAGTTGACTCTGCAACGTTGCCAATTAGATTGCCATTCTCTTGTGTCACTTGACAATTGCGCATTCTGGTCTGAGGTCTCGCAATACTGAGAGTTTACAGACGAGAACAAAAAAAAAAGACTCAGATTCCGTAAACGAGGCCGGTCATGGTACGTACCAAACGCCGTTTGACGTCCTTTCACACGCAACTTCAAGTTGGCACGACGAGCCTCCATTCTCAGGACTTGGATAACGTAAGTATACATAACTATCCATGCACTATGCATGGAAACGGCACATTGCACCTTGCCTATTGCATTCACCAGACGGTGTGGACGATGGTGCAATCGCTCACCTCGCCCACCTTTGGCCTAGACGGACCTGGTTGGCCTGCGAGTCATCGTCAATGGCAACTTCGTGACCTGCAGATCCTGCCTTGGTTTCAAGCTTTTTTTCCCTTCTTGTCTCCTTTTGTTGCTTCCATCGTCTCCGTGTTTGTGATCCCGCGATCCCGCTTCCCATGTCTCTCCCCCACTCGCCTCGTTCCTTGGCCGATTGTCGAAAAATCAACGCAGTAGAAACAGTGATGGTTCCATGATGCTACTCATCTTCATGACAAGCAGGTGATAATTCTGAAGGCCCGAAAAAACTTACCACAACTCTCAATTCTGACATGCGAAAACGGCCAAGCCAACAGAGGCGGTGATTCGCACAAAAATGGACCTTATGCGTCTAGTTTCAAGCTGGGGTTGGTTGGCGCGCACCGGAGGGCGGAACTCCATCGCGGGCTTCCCCAACTCGGGGCTTTTGGCGAATGTCATGTAGTTTTCCATACGGCCATAGTCTTCAGTCCATTCCCCAGTTGAATCCATGCAGTGGTGGGATGGTATGGCACAGTTTGTGTCAGCTCGAATTTACATTGTGTAAGACAATGCTGGGTTTGCTGCCGCCAAGAAGGAGACGTTGTCCTTTGGTTGGCAATGGTTTGGCCTGACGACGGCGATGTGCCTCACTTCTGGGCCCTTGTTCGTTCATGCTCCAGACTATCGCATCTTGCAGCTGACGGGTGGACAGGGAAGGGAGCTCAGTGCCCAAGTGCCACATCCAATACATTCCTACCCCAGACGGGCGGCTGGCAACCTGTCTCTGGCGCCTACGGGGAAAGGAGAAATATGGCTTTCGGCTAGACTAGCCAGGTCCCTCTACTAGACCGAGAGACTATGGCTCACCTGACCGTGAATTGAATGAGCGATTGGCACTCACCGAAATTTCCGGCAAGCTTCACCGACACCGGGACGATCACGGGACAGAGACTAATTTTGTCTCGATTCCAGGGGGGACCACAATCGAGGGCGTCCAAGATCACATCCCGCCAGATCCAGTCATAGTCATGAACTAAAAACTGGGCGGACAAGGTGATTCTTGGTCCCCGTCCGACATCATCTCTCGGCACCCAGGGCCAACCACCCCTTAATCCCACCCATCATCCCCATGGCACAAGACACAGGGAGCGAGCACAAGCAGCACGCACAGCTCACCCGCCGGCTCGGCCTGGCCTTGGGGCTTGGGACTTGGGGGTGGAGGAGGGGGGCACCCGGGCCAGAGCAAGGTCCTCCGGCCGACGCGGGGCCGCCTGTTCGGTACTTACGTACGCGTACCCTCTTTGGGGTACCATCGATGACACAATTGCCCAGGAGCCCTTGGGCTCCGGCACGGAGGGGTTTCATTGCGAGATGAATGAGCATGAGCAAGGCTGGCAAGAGGATGGGAGTTGCACGACATATCATGGCATTGCTAGCAAGTCTGCATAGGGATTGCGTATCCGTCTCCTGTCATGTCCCATCTCCGTCACCGGTCATCAATGTCCAGCCAGCCGTTACGGCTAAATCAACATGATATGATTGATTCTGGCGCGATTGAGGTTGAGAGAGGTTTCTCCAATATCCAAGTATCCCCCGCAAGATGCGTCGTCGAGTCCACCTCTTTCTCTCACCTCTTTGTCAAGTATACGTTTTGCGTGCAAGATTCCCCAAGAGAGTCCCACAAGGAACGGAGCCGGCACCCACCTCCGGACCTCTCGTGCCCCAAAGACCCCAAGGCCCCGGACTCCCCCGGGGCCCCACTCCGCCGACGGCCGGCGCCCCCGAACCATCTTCGTCGAGCGCTTCCATCTGGTTTCCATTACCCCCAGGTTTTCTCCCATGACTCCAGTTTCCATCTCCAGTCCCCGGTTCTGGATCTGCCATGATGACAGGAAGAAAAAATTTAGTCCATATACTTCCCCAGGACCCGCCTCCAAGCTCCCTCGTCTCATCTCATTCTGGTTTCCATTACCCCCAGTTTACTTGATCTTGCAGCTTTCGTGACAGCCACGGGGCCGGCCGTTCCTCCATCTAACTATGTAGGCCCCGCGGCACTCATCCGCTTTCACTTTTACACCGTCCTGCCAACCCCTAGAGGTAAACGGGACGGCCCCATTTCTGCTCGCTCAGCCAGCGCGCGCGCCCTGAAGCCCAGCTGTATGTAGGCACGCACAGTTGCGTGCTGACACTTTGCAGACCTTGTGCCCCGACAACCGTCCCCCCAGACTTGCTTTGCCGCCGTCTCGTGGCCCCTCTGGTTTGTCATGGGCGTCGCTCCATTACCAAATCTTCCCTGCAAAATACTGCACCCCGCATCCGGCGCTTCAAGGTGGACGCCGTTTAACGCGTCACGAGGTCGGCAGAAAAAAATAAACCGGAGCGTCCCAGACTTCGATAAGTGACAAGGGGTGTGCCTCTAGACCGGAGGCCGGTCGGTTCGGTCTGGCTGAGGCACGGAGATTGAAGATGAGATCGAGGTCACGATGATGGACAGTCTTGGCTCCCGTCGACACTTTCTGGGGCCCAGTGGATGCGGCTTGTCAAGGTCAGGGACAGAGGTCAAGGATCGGCTCCTGTCACTTGGACATTCTCATGATGCCGATGCCAATGACCAATGCTCGTGGCTCGCCAGGCGGTAAGGTAGGTACCTGCCTACAGTACATCCATACCTTGAAGGCTGGGGAAGAGGCGAGATGCATCTTTGTTCCAGAGGCTTGGGAAGTGGGCATCACGACTTTGCCAGCGCCAGGCACGAGCTCTTCCCTGTCCCTCTTCTTCCTTGGCGAGTTGCAACCTCCCCTTGAGGGTTTTGCGGCAGTTTCCTAGTGAGATGCATACGGTTTCAAACGTGCCCATCTCACCATTGTTGCTGTTATCTCATCATTCATGGCGTCTCCAGTATCAATCTCACAACCCCCCGGTCTGGACAACACAATCGTCTCTTACAAACCCACTAAGGTGAGCATCATCCTCCGCCGATGGAAGCCTGTTGGTCGACGGTGACGGGCATTACAGTCCATTACGACGACGACTTGCTTGTCCTCCCTCCGTTCACAAGCGCCTCGACCGTCTCCACGCCCTGATGCCTTTCTGGGCACCGTACCGGCTTGTGGTGGACGCGGTGTTACCCCGCCAAAAAGTCCAGGCCAGCCTCTATCCATGGATGGATCCATATCCAAATGCCAGTCACCCTGTGTCAGTCAGGTCCGTTTCTATTTTTGCGCCCTGGCTGCTTCCAATCATTCTATGGATCTCCATGCACTTGCCACCGCCTGCCACTTGCACCTGCCACCTGCCACAGCTCGCCAATGCCGCTGCAATTGGCAATTGCCATTGCTTTGATTGCCCACTGCCACTCACTCTCCCGTCTCCTTGTCCTGGTCTGTCTTGCCTTATGTAAGGCTGGAGTTTTCGGATAGATCGGTATCAAGTTCCACGTGCCGTCATGTTGAAGCCGTCTTTTCCGTTCCTGTTTCGAATCAATTGATCTCACGGCTTCGTGGACGTCTTATTGCATGCAGATTGTTTCAACTGACGTCGAGCAGAGCTTGCTGCCGTGCCCTGGCGATACGTCAACACGGTCAACACATCAAATACGCACCGCCACACGAGGTACGAGATACATGCGCACCCGGCTTCAGGACCCGATCCTGTGCAATGACAGCAATAACCAATCACGTCAACTCCCATATCTTTCACCGTGGGCCATGATGGGGACTCACTGGCAAGCTTCGGCACAGCAACAGTCAAGCAGGGGATGACACCAGGCCTCTTCTGTTTCCCCATTAAGCCAGGTCCCGGTTCTGCGTGCTATCAAGGCAATCCAATGTGCAATTGAGTAGCAGTACGTACTGCCCGTATCATCAGGTACCTTGCTGGCGCCCGCCGGACGTTCTCTGAGTTGCCACGAAGTGGAATGTTGGGGGAAGAGTTTTCCCAGACAAGAACCCCCAGTGGCTGAGCGCGGGGCACCCGGGGCGCCGCCCAGCATGCCCAGGCACTCAAAGGCCCTGAGGCGTCACGGGCGTGAGCACCAAGCTCCACAGTACAGGCCAAGCTTCCAGGTCATCCACTCATGATGCTGCCTTGGGCCCTTGGTGTGGATGCGATGCTTCTACACCCGGCCGAACGTGCTGCCGGCCTCCGGGCACATCAAGTTGTACTTGTACTGTACGTACTCTATCCCCTTGCGGTGCCCTACACCTGAGCCTCCACAGCTAATTGGGGCTTGTGCCTGCTATCTGATCGGCTAGCGACGCAACAAACCACATGGATTGGACCCATGCTTTTTCTAATGCTCAATCCCACCGCGTCCGGGGATCAGGGTCGGCCTTGCATGATCACGATAGCTTCAAGGTGGACGACGAAACAACCAGGATGCCCCTCTTTGTCCGTTTTAGACGAGTGACGGGCCACGATGGAAATTAGAGTCCATTCCTGGCGTCTTGCGGTGAGGGTCCCGTCCACCACCTGGAGCAAACCCAACCGGCACGCCAAAGTACCTACATACACAACCTCAAGCGGCAAGCCGGACGAAGCCCGCGGGCGGCCACGACGGACCACGGAGTTTTTGGCCAAAAGACGCGGCCGGGGGGGCGTCTCTTCGCAAAGCGCCGCCGGGCTGTCGCCATCCCAGTATCGCATCTCTGTCCTTTCTTCTTCTTCCCTGCTCATCCATTCATCACAGCGCGGGGCAACCCCTGGCCTGCACGCAAACCAACGGCGCAGACACGTGCTGGTTGAAAATGTGACCTGGTGCATTTTTATTAGTGGTCAAGGCTTCACGATGACAGAGCAACTGTGAGAAGGAAGCGTCAGAGATTAGAAACTCGGGAGGGCCATTGCGTGCCTGGCTTGCACCGATTCGCTCTGCGGTGAGCCGTCTGATGGCATCGCGGCATCCTACGGTGTAAGCTGTACTCGTATCACTGTACTTGCAGTACTTTCACCGTAAACACCCCTTCACCATCCACGCCTCCAATGTCGTTACCCCAGACCAGGAGACAGACATGTGCCTTGCCTTGTCTCGAAAGCCTACTTCAAAACAAGTCGCCTTTTACGGACACGGCCCGAGCTTCTCGGCAATCGATACAGTACTATCTTGTCTCTCTGCAAGAGAGTCTAGGATGGGAGAGATTTTGCCTCGCCTCCATGCCTACCTACAGCGCAGTGCATGCCTACTTGCTTCTGCCACCTTGTGCGTGTGTCCTGCATCGGCAAGAGTCCAGATGACAACCCATTTTCATTCCTTGTTCCTGACTTTGGGAGATTCTGGAGCCGAAGCCGCGTCCTCAGCTACCGAGTACAGATTACCCAATCGGCGTTTTTGCCTCGCGTCGCTCCCCCTCCTCTACGGCCTGTCTACACCGGCCTGGATGGGTCTATCGGTGACACGAGCTCCTATGTAGAGTTCACATTGTAGAGTTTTTTCTGTAGATCACGGGGAAGGATCGTGCTCATTCGGACTGTCTTGAATGGCTCGTAATTCGAAAGCCCCCTTGTGTACCGCATTTCGTTTACCGCTCATTCTCAAGAGTAACAGGCCCCGTAAGATACGTACTCTTTTTCATCTCTCCAGGAGGGCTGAAGCGGTCACGATGCCAGATGTCTAATTGCCAATGGATTGTCGCCTACGTTGCTGGCTCCATTCGGGGTCAGGTGGTTGTCCCCTTGAGGCAGTCAATTACGTACTAGTGTACTAGAGTCTCAAGCCCGGTTACCAGGAGACCAGAAACCAACATGGCAAAACAACTTCAACAACTTGGGCAAACTTGAACACTTCAACAACAACGGCACATCACGATGCCCCAACAAGATTGCCTTTCCCGTCCCTGCAGATCCCTCTGTCTCGAATGTCCGACCGCCTGCTCTTCCCTCTTTTCTCTCAACTTCTCGTCCTTGCTATCTATGATTTGGTTGCCATGCCAGTCGACACCCACAGAGCGAGCTGAAAGTAGCTCAGGACTGTTGCCAGATCTCCAATTGCTGGACCAAACACTGCTTCAAGGTCGTCTGGACCTAGGGGCTTGATCTTTGGATTGCGCTGCAGTGATTCCGGGAGCTGCATCGCGCCGAGGAGCGAGTCCCCAGGCCGGGCTGAAAAAGCATAGTCTGGAGCTGTCACCCAGTCCCATATATCGTTCACAAGGTGATCGATGTGAGGAGTGCCTCCGGCTACCGCGAAGTCGTGGACTGCTTTGCAGATTTCGTCCGTCTTGGGCTTGTCCCCTCTCTCGTCTATGCCATCATGGACGAATTGGTTGTCAGGGCTAAGCTCGCGGACTAGCATTCCCGGCCTCAAGTCGCTCCATACACCGAGGTTGCGACTCATCCGTCCCTGCTTCGCGCCCATGCCCTGAGAAAAGGAGCGGCCGAGCGATGCTGGCCTCCAGCTCCTCCAGAGCCCCCGGTAGTTCATGAGGGCGTAGTAGTATGCCTTCCAATCCTTGTTGTTGGCATCTGACGTCTCCCTCTGCTTGGTCAACTTGACCTCGAGCATCCGGTTGAGGAGCCGGCTGAAGGAATAATCAGCACACCTCAGCACCAAGCTGGCCTGCGCGCCTGTCATGTTGAGTATGACGTCCCGCGCAGGTTGTGTGGGGTTGGCCAGCATGATACCCAACACTCGGCGCATGTCCATCTGAGCCTGGCCCTTGCCCTGGTCGGCCTCTCGGGGGTCCACCAGCGAATGAAGCGGCCCAAACGTCATTTCGATGTTGGACTGCATCTTCTTTGGCAGCAGGCGGAATGCCTTGATGATGTTGCGGGAAAAGATCCACTCGCGGTGGTGTAAGTGATATGCGTCATGATCAGGTCTTCCGTCCAGTTTCTTCTTGGGGGTGAGTTTCTTGTAGAGATCGCATTGCTGTCCGAGGGCCTCGGTAAGTTCGAAGAGCTCGTTAATCTGGGTGTCGAGCACATCTGGTCTGCCAGTCTCGTCACTGTTGCGTCCCCATGTTGCTGAGTGGCCTGGGAATAGTCGCTTGTGTTGGTCATACTTGTCGCACCAGGAGATGACCTCTTCCTCCTCCGTCATTCTCCTTGATTCTACCATCTGTATGGGTGAAATACTGATGACGGGCTGGTGTCTGTGTCTTTCTAGCATATGAATCACAGCCAACTGGGCCATGAGATGGTCCATGGCGTAGTCAGTGTTGCTCGAACCGACTACTAGAAGGGACGATGAAAAGAAGACATATTGTAGGCTAGTCAAAGTTGGCCGAGTCAAAGGGGCGTCTTGGGGCTTTTATGGTGACAGACAGGCACTGGAAACTTTGGTGTGCGTGAACATCTGCAAGCCTCGACATAATGGTGTTGCGAGCTTGGAGCTTATTTTGGAGTAAGGGGACTTGACTCCTGGTATCAAAATTTCGTATAGGCTGTTTACTATGACCTCTGATGCGGGTCAGTCCCTATTGAATAGTGCAATATTAGTAGGGCTCAGTTGCACTATCATGAAATCCTTCGACATTGCCGATGACACAAGAGATTGTTCCACGCGACGCCGTCACACTCACTACCTTGATCTATCGACAGGCGATGAAGCCTTCAGCAATCACATACATATGAATGTTTAAATAACCTCAAAAGTAGTTTCTGAGTAGGTATCTTGGATATGCCAAGGTTATGGACCTATGAGACAAGAGTTGATGGTTATTATAATGGCGGTTGAGCGCGCCTGCGTTAATCAGTAACCGCGAGGGCACGTGATAAAAACCTCCCCTCCTAATCGGTCGGCTGAATCAGCCGCCCTCCCCCGGCTCTGTGCGGTTCGGATTCGCCCCCCCATCCAAGCTCCCGCCCAGAACGCCCAAAAAATTTGACACCCATGACATCGTGAAGCCGACGACTCCAATTCATCCACCAACCATCCATCAGCAGAATCGCCCTCTTTGTCGGCAGGCATTCTCGTTTTCACGTCTTTGACCTTGCGCTTCATCCGCAATCGATTCCTTTGCTCGTTGGCCTGCATTCTTCGACATCTTGTTCCAGAAGCTTCGAGTTAGACTTCTGCGGCATCAACCCACGACTGAGTCTGTGCTGTTCGGCTCGCATCGACGAATCACCTTAATACAATAATCACTTTCCCCTCCTTCTACCCTTCTCAACCTTCAATCGCTCAAGATGGTTACTCTCACCGAGGTCGAGGACGAGCACTTCCAGCACGCTCAGGCTGGCCCTGATATCGAGGACGACGATGAGGATTACACCGATACTGGTTAGTTACCTCATGCGCTTTTAACAGACGCATATGCTGATTAGATCCGCAGATTCCGAGATCTCCAACGACTCCGACTACGATCCTTCAGAAGAGACCCTCGCCGAGCGGTTATACGCACTGCGCGATATCGTACCCCCCACCACTCGCTCTTGGTTCTCCAGCAAGGCCAATGCCATCTCTAGCGCCACCTGGAGCGTCCTGTCCTTCAGCGGAAAGACCGCTTGGGTAGTCACCACCTCTGCTCTCTTCTTCGGTGTCCCCTTTGCCCTGTCCTTTGCCGAGGACCAGCAGCTCACTGCCATGGAGCAAGAGTATAACATGCGACAGACAGGCGGCGAGCTCCTGACCGCCGGCGCCGAGCAAAACACTGCCGAGAAGGTTGGCGCCGCTCTTGACGGCAAGCCTAGCCAGCCTGCTCTGTAAAGCACTCCCCCTTGGATATTGGCAAACCTTGATCAAGCGTCCTGGTGTGAGGACGCCCAGACCGGCGCCTCGAGAGCCTGCTGGCGCAGTCATTATCGGGCCAGAGAGTGGACCTCTTCGTGTACTATAAATGGGAATGGCGCAAACAGCCGATGGGGCCCTTGATGAATGACAGACAAATGGGTTGAACCGGGACGGGACCATGTGCGGACGCATATGGCATTGCGGCGTACCAATGATGTAAAGTATAGGGCTGGGGAGGGCGAATAATGGCTGCGATCTCATCTCCTGTAGGGGCGGGCTCACATGTATTTTGTGATACTCGACCTATTATTCATTTACGACATTTATGTGGGTTTCGCTGTGGTCTCTGATGTGGTGATGCATCTACCGTTTCCAGCGACTGATGGCGATCAATGTTGATATGTTTATATGGAGGGTCAGACAGTATATATAACATGGGAATGCCATGCAAATGCGTCTGGAGCAATGAACTGGTGGTTATATTCAAGCACTTTACTTCTCTGGATGCCTTGTGATTGAAAATAACATGGCAATTTGCACACAATCTATAGTTCCCCAAAGCTCGCACTCTCATCCCATAATTACAGTATCTTAAATGGAAATTACCCGTAGAATCCCAAAGATTAGCTATCTGGATATTATCTGTAGCAGAAACTCAGATATCGTGAATGGTTTCGACCCGACGGTGCGACATCACCCCGGGTTCAGGGTAAGACAGTTAACGTCGGCGTCTTCTCCACCAGACCTCAACCTTACATTTCAACACTCGCCGGTTACTTCATCTAGATATTCCAAGGAGCGGAGCACATATGGATTTCGTTGCACTGCCAAAGATAGAGGTAATCATCATCCGAGTAGCTCAGCTCGACAATCGAATGCTGACATGAGTCAAGCTTCACGCTCATCTCACGGGGAGTATCTCTCGCCGAACTCTCCATGAAATATGGCTACGCAAGAAGGCCGCTGGCGATACGGACCTCTAGGATCCACTAGTAGTCATGCCAGAAGGGAAACATGACTACAACTTGGAGACGTGAGACTCCCTGCTCAGATGACAACTTGGTAATTCCATTGTTTCCATAACCACTAACCACGTATTGAACAGCTTCTTCCCGCTATTCAGCAGCTACATATACAACCTCATCACAGATGAAGAGTCTATCCGATACACCACTACCTCTGTCTTGACAGACTTTCTCAACGATGGCGTTTGCTATCTGGAGCTCCGGACTACGCCCCGTGGCACACCACACATCTCAGCAGAGGAGTACATCACCATCCTCCTGTCCACCATCTCCTCCTTCGAGGCCAAGAATTCACAGTTGCACACTCGCCTCATCCTCGCCATCGATAGGAGGCACACACCCGAGCAGGCCGCCTCCACGCTCGCCATCGCCCTCAAGCACCGTGCCGACGGCGTTGTAGGTCTTGACCTCTGCGGGGACCCAACGGCCCGGCCTGGAGGAGAAGTAGACATATTCACACCGGTGTTTGAGGAGGCGAGGAAGGAGGGTTTGGGCATCACGGTGCACTTTGCAGAGGCTGAGGCTAGCGGGTCTAAGAAGGAGTTGGAGACGCTGCTCTCGTGGCAGCCAGGACGTTTGGGGCATGTTATCTGGGAAGATGAAGAGACCAAGAAGGAGATTGCGCGAAGGGGGTTATGCTTAGAGCTATGCCTGAGTTGCAACGTGAGTGCAGGGATGGTCCGGGGCGGCTTCGAGGGCCACCACTTTGGGCATTGGATAGACGTTGAGGGACCGATGATTTCACTCGGGGTAAGTCTTACATCCTACGGACCGGTGGCCAAAGTGTACTGACCGGGTTCTAGACCGATGATGTGGGTGTGTTTGGAAGCCCATTGTCCAACGAGTATCGTCTCGTCGCGGAACACTTCAACCTCGACCGCGACGACATCTGCCGGCTGGCGAGAGAGGCTATTGATGGCATTTTTGGAGGGGAGAAGGAAAAGGAGAGACTGCGGCGTGTCATGTGGACTGTGTGGTCAGCTGTGGACCGCGACTCTGAGAAATAGAGATATAGCTTGTTTCTAGAGAAGATATATCGCCTCATGTGCGATACAGTGCTATTATGCAGCTATGCCTTGCTCTCTAGCTGGCCCATTGGGCATACTGGCTGACGATGTCAGAGTTTCTTGATATTTTCGACATGGACATATGAAGAGTTATAACTGGATTGCTCAGGTTATAACCAGAAACACAAGTTATAACCAGAAACATAGGTTATAACTCGAAGCCATAGTTATAACTTAAAATAAGAGGGAATAACTAAATTACAGGTTATAAGTAGCAATCCAAGTCATGACTAAATCTTAAGTTATAACCTGAACAGACAGGTTATGACTAGAAACCCAGGTTATAACTGGCAACATAGGTTATAACTGAACATTCAAGTTACAACTGTATTTATTCCAGGAGAATGGAGTGTCTGGACCAACAACATTGATAAAGTCACATCTTCAGTTTATGCAGTCCAGCACTCAGGCTAACACCATACACTTTGTCATGTCGTGTATCTACTTTATTCATTTCTATCGTCTTCAAAGTGCGTGCAGCATGTGCTTGTAGCCACGATGAACACCAATCGAAGCATTCTAGCATCAACGGTTGATTCATACTGCTTTGACTCGCTAAACAACAAGGTATGAGCAGAGAGAAGTTTAAACTAATAAGAACAAGCCGGACGAGCAATAATTCTTCTTTCCCGACTAGACAGTTGAAGCATTATACGTGAACGTCGCGTAAACAGTCCTGCCCCAATTAACGCCATCACTTTTGTGAACCTTCGTTTCGAACCCAACCACCTTTTTTGCCTCCTCTTCACGTACATCCATATCGTTTTTCATCCAAGCATCACGTCGTCACCTTAATGGGCACCCGCGGGCGGGCTGTCGAGGTCAACGCTCTCAACCTTGAGTCGCTCACCCTCGCTCTGGCGGACAAGGTTGGAGAAGTAGCGCGAGGCGCGCTCGCTCTCGCCCTTGACCTTGATAGTCTCATCACGCTTGGCACCGAGGTCCTTGACGCTCTGGTCGAGGCCGACGCGGAGGTTGTCGGCGGGGAAGCGCAGCACCTTGCGGACGGACGAGGAAATGCGAGTGGCGTTGGAGTGGACATAGTCGAGGTCGTTGAGCTGAGTTGAGATCTTGGTGGCCAGGCGAGGAGGCAGGGAGTTGGGGATTTGCTGGAGAACATAGACAGAAGCGGCAACAGCTGTAATCATGTTAGTTGATTTCCAAATATATAGTCGTGTACTGAAGTAGACTTACCAGCCACGAGAATACCAGGCAAGATGAGCTGGCGGAGGTTGTCATTGCTCAGCAGGCGGGTTGCTGTAAGTGCCTGATCCATCCATGTGTTCATGCCAAGCATCTTGGGCACGACTGCACCAGCAACTGTAAGAGCCATGCCAGTGCCCGCGTACTTCTCCTGGCGCTGTAGAATGGTGGTCCAGTCGACAAAGTCCATAAACTCGGTGGGAATATGGACCTGACGAGCGAGGGCATCCTTCTTGCGCCGGAACATGACATCAGGTCGGAATTGGAGGTTTTGGAACTCGTCACCGACGTGCAGAAGACCCAGCTGCTTGATTGAGTTGACGCCACGAACCGTCCTGCCACGGGCGTACTCCTCACAGTTGGTCACCGAGTCGGAAATGCGTGAGAGCATAGCCTCCTTGAGGTCCTCGGCATACTGGAAGGCACTCAGAATTCCGGGGTAGGGCACATCATAGTTGCCGCTCGCAGAGTGAACGATGGCCGAGTTGAGAGCCATACGGGTGTGGTCATAAACCTCCTTGCACGTCTCCTCGATGTTGGTGTCGACGTTCTCACTGACTTCGGAGCGGGCCTTTCGGCTCGACTCGAGTTGAGGCTCAAGCTCCTTAAGCTCTTGCGTCACTCTCTCGAGCTCGGAGTGAGCCACCTCCTGGTTGACATTTGCCAGAGTCTGGACATCGTTGAGGATGTTGAGCAGATATGTACGGGCGGGAGCGAGCTTCGATCTGGCACGCTTCTCCAGCACAAATCTCCGCAGTGATTGCTCAAGGGCTTCAAAGTCACGAATCTTCTCACGATCCTTGCCCTTGCCCTTGTCATCACTGTCACCAGGGTCACCACTGCCCCCACTTGAGCTTCCGCTGCCGCTGCCGCTGCCTCCAGGGCCCCCGGGAGGCGATGGACCGACGGGGATAGCATTGCTGGAAACGAAATGAACAAGCTCAGATGATTCCTTGTGTGTTCGGGGGCTCAGGCCTTGAACCTGATCCAGCACCATCTTCTCGCATCGCTTCTTGTCACGGATAACATCGAATCCGTTGACAACGATAAAGATGTAAGCCTTTTCGGCCGCGGCAGCCCAGATGAACTCCTTGGCGGACTGCGTGAAATGGTTGGCGGCAGAAACCACAAACACGACGACGTCAATTTCCTCCTGTCGAGCAAAGATGGCTGTTGTCTTGGTCGTGTCCGAGTTGAGGCCAGGAGCGTCAATCAGGGCGATGTCCACAACTCCATTGTTGAGAAGCGACTCATCGATGGAACGGCTATCCTTGACATAGATCTTGCACTGGGTGTAAGTCTCATTGTCGATCACAATGTTTTCCAACTGTTGCAGAGGAAAGACGTCGTAAGTTGATTCGTCATTTCGGTCGTAGGCGACCTTCTTGTGAACGGCATGGACCTCCTCCACTCCCGAATTCTCCCTAGCATCGAGCACCTCGCAAAAGATGGCAGTGCAGGGTTGTTGGTCTTCAGGCAAAACCTTTCGGCGTAGAAGGGCATTGCAGAAGGTCGACTTGCCGGCGTTGAGGTCACCAGTGATGAGGACCTTGCTTGCAGTGTCTTCGATTCGGTCACGCAGAGACAAGAGGTGCTTGATACTGGTGCTGATCTTGCCGTCGAGCAGCGAAGCGATAGAACCCTTTTCCAACGAGTGAACAAGCTCGGCCTGGTGAAGTGCTCCAAGCTTGAGGTCCAGCTTCAAGATCGAGAATTCTTGAGCAATCTGAGGGGAAACCAGTCGGGGCTCGGGTGTAGATCGACTCTCGGCGGCTCGGCTCGACTCGGCAGCACTCTCTTCGACGGAAGTCATGGATCGACGAAGCATAGGGTTCCGGAGGGATGGCGACGAAGCGCTATGCTCTCCCATGGTCGAGTGGGCATGAGCGAAACCGGGGCGGGAGGATGTCTCGGACGAATCACGGCGGGCTCGCTGGACGGATGGGTAATGAGCGGGCCAAGAAGCGTTCATCTCTTGAAGACTTTGAAGCAGTTCGAGGACCTTGTTGATGGATCGGCCGAGGTTCGCGCGGTGGGCATTATACCACATCTGGTGCACAGCACCCGAGGCAGGACGGTCGTGATGCATTGCCATGTCCCAAGCCGCTGGAGCAGCCATAGCCCGTTGGTCATCGCCAGCGATGCTACCGCCATATCCTGAGTCGACGTCTAGCATACTCTGAAGACGCGCCGCATGCTCAGATGTGGTACCGTTGCCCACGGTCATGTAGTTGGGTTGGACGGAGGATGAGTTCCCAAGTGGCGGAGAAGCAGAATCGGACCGGGGCGCGTTCGGGGTGGCATTTTCGTTGTCGGACCCGTTGTCGTTCTCTTGATGCAGAGGGCCCTTGCCCTTGCCGTTGAAGTAATCGTGGTTCATGATGAAGCAGGGTGTTGCAGTTCGAACTGCATGTTTTTGCTTGCGCAAAAAGTAGAGGAATTAATTAGAAATGCTGGAGTGGTGATGTCGTTGCGGTGGGCGGCGGAGTTGGGGACCGGGGCGGGAGTAGAAACTTGATCAATGGATCCCTGAGAAACGACCCATTTCTGCATGATTTTTACTGGTCCCGATCGCCGAGGGACATCCATGATTGGCCGGAAGCAGGTTTTTTGGGCAACACTCGGGCCACCAGCCACAGGGAGCATGAGAATGAGAACGGCCGCCAAGCCACATTTGGCTGTCAATGCAGTTCCCGCGCCCGTCGGTCTTTGAGAGGCGAGGTACGACAAGGTTGGGCCCAGAGCGGTTACGTAGTTCGGTACCTCCATCCGTAGCACGACACGGCTACTGACTTCTGCTCTCACCACGGCTGGCTTTTCTTCGCTGCCTTGGCCACTATCTTGACGCCTATTCCTCCTCGCTCTCCATATTATCCTTCTATCTGCGCATCTTCAACCTCTCGTTCGACCTCACAGATCTCCCTCCGCCTCTCTACACAGCTTCACCTCCCCCGCACACCATGAACGTAAGGACAATGACGTCGCGCGACAATCCTTGATACCCATGATGGCTAATGCCTCTCATGAAACACAGATCCTCGAGTGGGCTTTCGGTAAGCGCATGACGCCTGCGGAGCGTCTGCGCAAGAACCAGCGCATGCTGGACAAGGCCATCCGCGAACTCGACCAGATGCGCGTCAAGCTCGAGAAGCAAGAAAAGACCCTCATCCAGCAGATCAAGACGAGCGCCAAGAATGGCCAGATGGGCGCATGCAAGATTCAAGCCAAGGATCTGGTCCGTACCAGGCGATATGTTGAGAAGTTTTACGCCATGCGCAGCCAGCTACAGAAGATCTCGTTGCGTCTTCAGGTATGTCATGATGGCGCTGCCCCACGAGGTGCACTGTATCAACAGGACTGGAACTGATCAACTACAATGCAGACCTACCGGACGAACGAACAGATGATGCAAGCTATGAAGGGTGCTACCATGGCCTTGGGCAGCATGAACAAGTCGATGAATCTCCCCCAGCTCCAACGGATCGCTATGGAGTTTGAGCGAGAAAACGATATTATGGAACAGCGACAAGAGATGATGGACGACGCAATCGACGATGCCATGGACGTGGGAATCGAAGAAGAGGGCGACGAGGTGGTGGAACAAGTGCTGGAAGAGATTGGAATCGACTTCAACCAGGCTGTACGTGAGGCCATGATAAGACTCTCTGGACTGAGGCTGACAATAATTATAGCTCGGAGAAACACCTACTGCATTAGGAAATGCTGCTGTACCAGAAGGCAAGATCGCTCAGGCAGTGGGTGGAGGCGGTGGCGGCGATCCTGTTGACGATGACCTCCAAGCACGCCTCGATAGCTTACGGAAGTAGACGACGGATCGAGTACCGAAGAATATGGACACGGTTCATCCTGAAAGATGGATGCTGCTCCATTATCTTGGATAATTCGCCGCCGTCCTGAACCGCAGAGTCGAACGAGACAGCGACAGAGCCGATATTATGGCCGGGAGGGGCATTTGGTGTTGCCATTCTTACAAGGGTGCATTGGTGTCTGGAGAATCGTGTTATGATCAGTCAACTTTTCAGCCTTTTGACGCAGAGTTTCCTGCTGTTTATAGAAAGATAATCATGGATGGGCTTCTTTTTGCCGAGTTGGTGTTTGCTCCAAAAGAGCGCGGACGCTCCTTGTCTCTGGAATTATTTCCTAAGGCGCAAACCCATATCCGTTTTTGAATCTGCTTCTTTGTTTAACAGCTGTGACAGGAGGCACAAGATATTCCTGAAATTTGTGAATTAATTGTCTCCTCTTCAGGAGCCCTTAGGATGATCAATGCTAAGACGTCAGTGGAACGGATCCTGTAACAAGCACACCTAGCGCAAGATGAAGCCTGATAAGAATGGAAGCTGTCTGTTTTGTGTAATAGAAAAGAAATCCACCAGACCAAGCAAAAGAAAAACCGACTGGTTGGGCCTAGGCCTAGCTCTGACGGCACCCCCGGAGATACACGTGTACGACTCTGGGAAGCTGGCCTCGTGAGCGTGCGCATCAACGTGGACAGTCGATGTTGAACCCTGTGTTGTTAGCCTGGAGCCTTTTGCAAGGATGGATGCTTACCCGAGTTGAGACTCAAGTTTGGAGGAACTGCTAGTATGTATAAGGCGTCGGATGCTCCGGGTGAGACTCTCGAGATGTCATCCCCTGAGATCAACTCCCAACAAACAGAGGACCCATTCTCAAGGCGCGTTTCTTCAGGTGCTTCATCGGGGCCTCACAGAGATCCTAAATCCTCATTGGAGAGCACCGTCCCGTCACAGATTCTCTCTGCAGAGCACTAAACAGCACGCGCCCAGGTTCAGAGCCGCTGGGCCAGTCAACGTCACTTACACCCCAGCGTACGTCAGTGGCCAACCCCCGTGTCCCGTCGACGGAAGCCAGTGGGGACCGTGAACGGTGTGAACCCCTCAGTGCACCCGCCGCCTGGAATTTCAGCGCTGGTCCCCGCCCGCGCCCCCCCGCCGAATCAGGATAGCCCCGTGCCGTTCAGATAACTTGCCCGGCCGCCTGGCCTTACCAAACCGAACGGCTTCATCAACTACGACGACGACTAGACTCGCAACCAGCCGACCACCTACGCCATACCTAGCTGCTCCGACCCTCCCGCCTCTTAAGGTACTGACCTGCCTACCTACCTCTTTCTGTTACAGCTCCCAGAGCCTCTTCTCTCGTCTCCATCTCGCGCATCTCTCTCACCGAGATATTCCACCGATCCATTCCATTCATCGTCAGGTACGTCTTTCGGCCTTCACACCGCATTGGAGTGACGTCGAGCTATTGGTTTGCTCTCCCGCTTGACATTTGTTTGCCATCTATTACCGTCTATCCCCCTTGCGCCCATCTGCTTGTTGTATGTCACCGTCCCCGCCATTGCTGTCCTCGTCTCTCCTACGTCACGCTATTCTTGCCTTGCGATGCGCGCTGCTGCACAACGCTTTTGCATTTATCATCACAGACTGTTGATATTTATCTACTTGCGGATCTTGGATACCATCACTTTTCACTGTGTGAGGCTTTGGGTTCTTGAAGGTGGGATGCGAACTGTTGTGACCAAGTGACGAGGGGCTGTTTCGCGCTTCCATAGCTCCTACATCATCACTGGCTGCCCATCCAACTTTTTGTACCCAACATCGACATCTCACTCTCCTCATCCTTTTCTTCCCGCCAACTCGAATTGCAACACCACCATTGACTCTTCTAACTCTTCCAGGCCCGTTGTGCGCCGACGAAGCATCCCCACTACCTGCGCCTCGCTGGTCTCGACCAGCACCCCGCCCCAAGCTCCCCACGACGACATACATTGCCACAGCTCACCTTTCCAGCACCCGCGTGTTGCCAGCCTTCGACATCGACAACATATATACGATAGGGACCGAAACGATATCTTTGCTTCTTCAGCATCAACGGTGCTGACACGACCTTCACATACCGCCAACTCTTTAGGTCTCTTTTTCCTCCCCACAAGCTGGCGAGCAACAAGCGTCGCAGTCTCTCCTCGACTGGAGGAAGTCTGCTGAATAGAATGTTTGGCGGCAGTTCCAACTCTGCAGGCAACAAATCTGAAAGCGATTCGAAGTCTGACAAGTCTCCCTCGCCCGAGCCCAGTCTCGGAGCGAGTGCCCCGACTCCTATCAAGACGCCCGATCAAGCCGCGAGCGGCGAGAAGCGAAGTGGAAATGGCAGCCCTCCAACCCGCCAGGAAACCGGTGGCTCTGGCGACAAGAAGCGCCGGAGTAGTAGCGTCAGCAGTCGCGCCAGCAGTCTGCTGGCCTCGGCCAAGAACTCGCTCAACTTCTCTTCCCAGAGCAGTCGCGGCGGGTCCTCTGAAGTGAGCTCGCAGACGCCTCTGCAGAAGCTTGGCAAGCAAGATCCCGCTCTAGTGGTCCCCCAGGGCCAACATAACAACTCGGCTGGAGAGTCTGTACCTGGACCCAAGTCTACGTTCCGCGTCGGCGTTTGGGAAGATAGGAACAAGAAATGCCGCCGGACCATGGAAGACACCCACGCCTTCCTGTACAATTTTGTTCAGACACCAGCTCTAAATGATACGTCCGCAAAGGACAAGTCAGAGGGAGAAGACCAGGAGTCAGCCGTCTCTGACATGGTTGAGTCTGACAATGGCTATTTTGCCATCTTTGATGGTCATGCCGGCACCTTTGCCGCTGACTGGTGTGGCAAGAAGCTGCACATTATTCTCGAGGATATCATACGCAAGAATCCCAATGCCCTGATTCCCGAAGTTCTAGACCAGGCCTTCACAACTGCTGATGCCCAGCTTGAGAAGCTCCCGCTCAAGAACAGCGGCTGTACCGCAGCCGTTGCGGTGCTGCGTTGGGAGGAACGCGCCTCGAATGATCGCTCGGCTGTTAAGCCTGCTAAACCTGAAGAGCCTACCGAAACGGACAAGGCCAAGGATGGAGCCAGCAGTGAAGGTGCTAATGCAGCAACCAAGGCAACCGTCACGAAAACGAAAGGAGGCAACGGACGACAGCGTGTTCTGTACACGGCCAACGTCGGCGATGCCCGTATCATCCTTTGCCGGGCTGGAAAGGCCCTGCGCCTTTCTTACGATCACAAGGGCAGTGATGAGGTCGAAGGCAAGCGAATCGCTGCCGCTGGCGGCTTGATTCTGAACAACCGCGTGAACGGTGTTCTGGCCGTGACCCGCGCTCTCGGTGACGCTTACATGAAGAAGCTTGTCACCGGACACCCTTATACCACAGAAACGGTCATTCAGGCCGATAGCGATGAGTTTATCATCATTGCTTGCGATGGAGTAAGTGTGATTCATACATCTATACGACGAAAGTTGCTGACCCAGTACAGATTTGGGATGTGTGTAGCGACCAGGAGGCAGTTGACCTCGTGCGAAACGTTGACGACCCCATCTCTGCTTCGAAACTACTTGTGGACCATGCCCTAAATCGCTTTAGTACCGATAACCTATCCTGTATGGTGGTCCGACTGGACCAAACCAAGGAGGCTGTGGTCGAAGCGGAGGGCGCAGCATCTCAGGTCAGCGAGGCGGATAAGATTGTCAGTGAGACCAAGCAGAAGATTGCAGAAGGCAGCACACCTGCCGTTGGAGTATCAGCAAGTAGCCACGCTAGCAACTCCGACCCTCCTATAGTTGTACAAGAGGGGGAGTTTGTACCCACGTCGCTTGACGAGGCTGTTGCGGAAGAACCTGTTCATGTCCCAGACCCCAAATCGGAGGAGGTGCCTGTTCTGAACAAGGTGGCTGTTGAGGAGGCTCGGAAGGATAAGCCGGACGAGAAGGCCTAGTGTGTGGATATTGTCTAGATATGCGGATCGCGGGACGGGAAGTAGTCTCAGATCAAGAACATTGCAGAGCAGTGCGAGGTTGGACTTTGGGTCCCTGGCTAATGGGCGTCTTTCTTCATAAAGCTAGATGGACCACATTTTTGGTTGATGAGCAGAGGGAACCGTGACTATTGTATGGTGTGTGTATTTGTGACGCAAGAGCACGGAACGGCGACAGGTCTCCTGATAAGACTGGATGCATGCAGAACCGAGTTGAGCGAGTTGACTTGGTGAAGTCATGTAGCCATTCAGCTGAACATGCATGACGGAGTGTATTATGCAACATGTTGCGATGCGAGTTACAGCATTGGAATTGAATGGCAACGACGAGGCGCGAGTGGTCTGCAACTGCGTTTCATTTGACTTGTCAAACCAACATCAGACAACACTGCGGGACGGATGTGCTTGTGAACTAGGCCGTTGAGAGTAGTTAATTGTCTTACTACTTGGAGGTCTTGGATAGGATAATGGGGGAATTGAAGAGAGTTCATTACCAGACAAGGAAGGATGGGCGCTCATGCCTAAGGAGGCTGTCAACATTTTGTCTCGTCTGCCCTTGATGACCAAAATGGCGTGATTGGCACTTGAGAATATTTAGCTCTGCTTGCAAGATCGAATGCATATGGTAAACGTAAAAGTACGTATTATCAGAAGAAACAGAGAACAGTCAAAATGAAGGCTACATGAATAGGGCAATTATGTGACTTTGGGCTGATGTAACATGGACATCACCCCCTCCCTTCCTCACAGACAAATTGTTCTCTAGCACATGGATATGGACTGACGATAAGAATCTAAAATGGAACTCCTGGCTGAAGTAGAGCCTTTGAAGTTGAGGTTGCTCCTTGATTGTCGATCGATAGAGTCTCTTGTTGATCTTGCCCAAGTATTCATCCATTAACACGCTATTAATTTGACCTATTGGAACTATAACCTAGAGGTGTTCAATTTGGGGTTCTTTCCGTAAAAGCTTCCTGTCCTTCTGTCTCTACATCGAGATCTGAGGGGTTAAGGATGCTAATGAGGACCATCCACTGCTGTGACAAGCCTTGGTAGCTAATCTTGACTGGCCTTGTGTTAATTGCACTATATAGCCTCTATAATTAAAGATATCACGGCGCAAGGACCCTGCCGTCCATTACTCGCTATAAATTGAGAGCATCATGGCTAAGCTTGACAAGCTGATTGCCAAAAAGGGCGAATTTGGGGGTCACGTGCAGTGGCTGAATCAATCCAGACATTGCGACTCCACAAAGTTATTCCATCAAGCTTCGACGTACCTAGTAGTCGACGGAGTGGATACCTAGAAATAGGCCGGAAAGATTCTGGCTATGGACTACCGTCCGGCGCCGCGCTATTCGACTCCATTTCCGAAATGGGGGAACAATTTCCAAGTGGACTATGAGGAACAGCTAGTGGACGGCCGAGGCGTCAACGGCTGCAAGTCAAATAACGTAGCCGAGATGCGAGGAAGAGCCAAGATTTGAGATGATTATGCAAAAGTTTTGTTTCTGTTTTTTTTTTAATTCTTTTTTTTATGCCTTGCTTCCCCCAGAAACCTTGAAGCATCAGAGTTTATGTAAGGAACAAGGCACACCAGGCCCTGAGATGGGGGTGGAGAGCGGGATGGGCGGGCTGCTTTCTGCTTTGGGTTGCCTTCAAGTCAGTGAGTGGCTTGCGAGTGGAGGGTCCCCAGGGGGCACACGACGGCTTGAGGTTACAGCGATGGGGTAGAGTTTTGGAAGCGGGATGCTGAACTGTGACGTTGATTGCTGGAGATGGGAGAGGGAGGGTGTGATGGAAGCTTGACCCTTGATGAGTGCACGAGAGGGGAGAATGAAGGGGAAACTCTACATTAAAGATTGTGCAACTTGGGCGTCGTCTTGTTTAGCTGCTCCCCCAGCATCAGTATCGACAAGGGGCAGAAGTAGAGGCAGAGAGGTAGAGAGGCTAGAAGCAGCTGAGAATGTTTCTATCTGCATCCTCTTTTTCCATCTCCATAGTGGTTCGTTTTTGTTTACTTTTTTATTCATCGTTTCGATCCATTCCCGTTTCTGATCAAGCGGTTGGCTGTATTTACTTTTTCCGTAGCATCCAAGGGATCCTTGTGAGTCTAGGCTAAAAGGCTGGCTCATGGTCGTCCATGGGTGAGAGAGAGAGTCGGAGGTTGCTATGAATGGCTCGCTCCATTCCAACGCGGATCTCCCTTTTAGGATGGCGCGCAATTACACTCGAGCTACTCGCGAGTGGGCTTGCATCCATCGGTCAATGGATGTATTTGTAGGTAATAGAGTCCTGCAGTGTGATGTTTGCTTTGCATCGTGTGTTTTTTTACTCTCCTTCCTTTTCTTCCTCTCTCTTTGATTGACATTACATGTCTCGGTCGACGATGGAAAGAAGCACCTGTTGGTAATTGCGATCCATACCTGGCCAGGGACAAAGACGACTCCAGGTATCACAACCTACCTCCTCGTCCATCCCATCCTTATTTACGAGGGAACAAAGCGCATCATTCTCCTCCGCCAATCCCTTTATTGGACTCGTCCCCCATCTAATTAATTTCCTTGCTAAATGACCAAATAACCCGCCCAAACTCGAGCAGAGCATTGCAATTATTGCTCTTCAACGAAAAAAAAAAAGGTCTCATGCTGTCCCGGCCAATCCATGGTTAGGTACAAGAGCTGGAGAGATCCATGTCGCCAGGCCGAGCCTTGCCCCTGAAATCTGGTGCTACCGCCCCTTGACCCGCACTGAACCCACCGCTCAACCCATCCCATCACTTCGAAACCGACGCCGAATTAGACGTGGACGGATCCCCGATACTACCTACTCTCTCTTGTACATTCCCCCCGGAACGACCATCCTCTTTTCTTTCCTTCCCCTGGTTCTTCGTCTTTGACCTCCATCTTGTCATTGCCGCCGCCGCCGTCGTCGCAGCTCGTCCCTCGTTTCATAATATTAAAAAAAAAAAGGTTATCCCCCCGCAGCTTCGTCCAAGAGCAGCCTCCTCTAGCTGCTTGTCGCCCACGCTGCTGCTGTCTTTCGTTTCCGACCTGGCTGTGACCCGACGGGAGGCGCCATGTCGCTGAATGGCTTAGACGACCCCAAGGTCCAGGAAGCCCACGAGGCCGCCGTCGCCGAACCCGGAGGATGGTATGTCGCTCTTCCCAAGAACAAGACAGGTTGCCAGAGGCTGACCACATCTTGCGCGTTCGTTACAGGTTCCTCCTCAAGTACGCGAGTCGCGATGAAGTCGAACTGTTGAGCCGTGGCTCGGGCGGTGTTGTCGAGGTGCGCAACAATGTCGCCCAGTATGACGAGACAAGTCCCCTATATGGCTTCTTGAGGTATCGGAGGAGAAATGTCTTGATCAAGTATCTTCCAGAGGACTGCTCTCGCCTCATCCAAGGTCTGTCATGGTTCCCCTTTAAACGCCTTCCTGTGGGCCTGTCCGCTCGCTGCAAGAGATACTGACTTTGCATCCGCCTGCAGCACGCGTGGCCGTTCATTTCAACGCCGTTTGCGAGCGATTCTCCCCTTACGATACCACCTTCGAGATTGCCGACGCCAAGGAACTTAAAGATACCAAGCTATCGGCTGCATGCTCCCTGCATGCCGCCTCAGGGTCTAACTCGTCGTCCTCGAGTTCGCTGCGCAGGAGACGCCTAATGGAGATTGCGGAGGAGGAAGAGGAGGAGCAGCAGCAACGGGCAAACAAGCGCCAGTCGCTCGGTGCGGACCAGGATGACGAACGCCCCCAAACGGCCAAATCAACCCAGGAGCCCGTGACGCTCAACTCGGACCTAGCTGCGTCTCCTGAGGCCAGCAATTTCACGGCTGCCTCAACCTCTGAGGTACCCAATTTCGTTGGCGCGGATGACAGGCCCGTTTCCCCTTCACAATCGATGGATGGACCGGGACGAATGTCATCACAATCAAGCCGGCCTGAATTGTTTTCCTATTCAACATACACATACGGCAAACCAAAGGTGAAGCTAGGCCCGCGCCCGTCGCTGGAGACGGGCAACAGGCCTCAGACTGCTGGAGGATTTCGACCAGTTTCTCAGATTCCCTCCGGACTTAAACTATTCGGCAAGGGCTCCAAGAGGAACAAGAGCAAGGACGAAACCGCCAATGCCGAAGAGCTCCTCGCTGTGACCGAGAACGACACATCTGTTTCGGAGGAGCCGCAGATTGCTCATACAGAACTTACCCGACCTGCTACGAGCTCTGGAGTTTCTGCTCCCAACTCGCCCATGATGCCGCCACCACTGCCCTCAAAGCCTACTATTTCGCCTGAGAAGGCGAGACTTATGAAGGCTATGAAGCTTAGAGAGAAGAAGAAGAAGAACCTGGCCATCAAGGCGGCGAACACCTCTGATTCTCCCGTCACTTCTCCCGTTACCAGCGAGGACGGACCCTTGGAGGAGAGGCTCGAGGAGAACCAGGCACACACTGAGGACGAGAACATCAACGAGATCGAGTCGGATCTACCATCCATTTCCAACGCGGACTCTGGCATTGGCCTCAACGCCTCCTCGGCATCCATGAACACGGACCAGGCGTCCGACCTTACGCAGACTGACTCTCACCCCGACAGCCCAGTCATTGCATCCTCAGAACCCGAAATATCTACAAAAGCATCTTCGCTATCCGAGTCCACCGATGAAACTCTGCACCCCAAGAGTGACGATGCGCCCGACGATGACGAGAAGGCCATTGATGATGAAGTGGCTGCAGAAGACGATGCACCCAAAGAACCAGCTGCCGCCACACAATTACAGCCTGTTGCCGAGGAGAAGGCTGAGGGCACGACTGCCGAGTCGGCCTCTGAGGCTAACACCAGCATTCCAGACCGGCAGACGGCATCGTTGGTGAACAGTGGCAAACCCGAGACAAGCAAAATTCCAGACACGCTCGACATAAATGCCACGCCCAATGTCAACAACAAGGACGATGAACCCCTCTCTCCCTCATCCGCCGCCCTCAAGATCCCCAAGTCCAAGTTCTCGACCCAAGACCTGAGATCTACAAACACCGCCCCCGCCCCTGAACAGAACGCCCGCGAAAGCAGTCCCGTCATCGTCACCGAGGACGTTGAGGAGGAGGCTGATACCCAAGACGTCGCCCCAGAAACAACCAAGGTGCCTGAGACAAAGCAGCCGAAGCGCAAGGCCGCCAATATCGAGCCCATCCGCACCGACTTTTTCACCGATACCAGCCGACCGGAGTCTCAAACAGGTCACCTGTCGGACGACGAATCGTTGATGGAGGAACTGCAGAGCGCCACCCTCCAGGAGGCAAAGCCCATGCTGGTCGCCAAGAGCCCTGTTACTCCCGTCTTCCCAAGCCCGACCAAGGGCGATCGGTCGCCTCACATCATCAGGACTGTTTCGAACCCGGTCCGTGGGAACTTCCTCGCCCCTGGCGATGTGACCCAGAGCTCTGTTCGGTCAGCGAGCTCGGGAGCGGCATACCTTCATAAGGTTGCCCAGCAGCCCGTTGGACCAAACCTATCCAAGAAGTCCAATGTGGGATCAAGTATTTCTCAGCGCATCAAGGCCCTGGAGAAGCTCTCAGCTCACTCTGGTGAGGCCAACCCCGTCGTTGCTAGCCGGGAGCGGCCCTCGTCGGCCTTCTTTTCTGTGAGGAGGAGCCGAGAACCTTCACGCTCGCCGTCGGTAGCGGACCGAGCCAACTCGTTCAACCGCCAGAACCTCCGAACACCGCCCTCGAGATCCGGCGACCGTGAGGAGTCCCCAGAGAGGACGAGACGGACACGCCGGGAGCGGTCCAACTCGGTTGCTAGCCGGTTGTCCATGTTCGAGCCGGTGGTAACGGAGAGTGGTGGTTCCCCAGGAAGCACGAGGGGCCCAGAGTCTATCTCAGTGACTGCTAAGATCGTCCGAGATCCGAGTCAGAACACGGCCAAGGCCATGGAGCCACCCAAGGACCCGTCTGAGTACAACCCCGTGGAGCTTAAGCAGTCTCCTCTCTTAGTTGACCACCAAAAGTCGGCCCCCGTCTGGACACCTGCGGCCCTTGAGATGCCTAAGGAGACCCTCTTGGAGCGGCGCATGTCCAAGGAGGGACGGAGGTCTGAGTCGCGGAACCGCAGCAAGGATAGCAAGTCCCGACGATCCTCTCTTACTGTCGTCAAGGACTTTATCAACGACCGTCGAAAGTCGCTGACCTCGCCCTCGAGCGATGCTCTTCCCGGTTCGGCTGCTTCTCGCTCACCCACCCGACCCCCATCGACACACCACAAGCGACTGTCCATCAGCAGCCGTCGATCGTCTTTCAGCCGGGACAGGGAGAACGTGCTGTCGCCCTCGGCCACGACCGAGAGCTCCGCTTCAGGCGACGAGACCAAGTCCAACAGTGACAAGTCCAAGTCTCGCGCTGCTCGCTTCATGCGCCGACTCTCATCCCTCTCCAGTTCGCGCGGCAAGACCACCCCCCCTACCGTCCTCTCCCCTACTGTCCAGGAGGAGGTGCCCGAGCCTCCCCGGCCAGCAACCACTGGCCCACCATCGATCGTCTCGTACATGGGCGACGTCAACGTGCAGTTCCCTGACAACCTCCTCTGGAAGCGACGCAACATGTGCCTTGACTCCCAGGGTTTCCTCATCCTGAGCGCCCTCCCTGGCCAAAGTGGCCGCGCTGCTCAGGGTACCAAGCGCTACCACCTGAGCGAGTTCCGAACCCCCTACATCCCCGATGTTGAGGTGCAGGAGCTGCCTCACAGCGTTGTTCTTGACCTTATTGAGGGAAGCGGCGTGCAGCTTGCCTGTATGGACCGCGCCGGACAGGTCAAGGTCCTCGACAGTGAGTATCACCAACTACTATCTGAATTATTCACATACTAACGAGCTTAACAGTTCTGCGGGACGCTCACGCTAGCCATGCCGTCACCTTTGGACTATAATTTCCTCATGGTCCCAACTGGGGCCTTCTGAAAAGGAGCTCCTGTGTATATCCTCAACCCCAAGCCCCGGCTTCTATCATCCGTCCGTCGATCTTCACCGTTACATATACTCGGCCACCGGCCATAGTAACAAACTCCGTCCTCTATGTGCAGCGATTAACGGCCTCACGACACTCAATCAACTTTTCCTAGCCTTGGTCTCACAATGTATCAACAACGTAAAACACCACGGGGGCTTGTAACTCGCCCTCTCGAAAGCACGAGATGCTTTCCTTGTCATTCTGGACTTGTCAAAACACCAGAGCTCAACTGTGTTGATGCCGTACAGGAACACCCACACACACCATCATCTTCCCTTGAAACAAAACACCACCATAGGACCTCGTAACCTTTCTCCCTCCATTTGTCCTCGTTTACACACAAATGTTTTTTCATCTATGTACGCATGATACCACTACTACCCCATTCTCTAGCTTCTACGGCTTTCTATTTCTTCCTTTTTTCTTCTTCTTTATTCCCTTCTAAAACTAGCCTTGTCTTTTTTTTTCTCTTCTTCTACACTTTGTTACTGTCTCTTTTATTCATAGTTTTTAAAAATAACACACCCTCTGTGTTTCCTTCGTCTACTCCGAGGAAGGCAAGGGGCCTGCCAAGCTGGGCGGGTGTTGGATAGGGCGGATCAAAGAGATTTCGTCTTTTGTTATAAAGGATTGAGAGAAAGCGGTGGATGATGATGATTATGGAGGAGTAGAATACAAAAAGCGCAGAGAGCGAGAGGCAGAAGCAAAAAAGACTGATTCAAAGTTCAATATCTGCAATGTTGATGACCCATGGTGCAAGTGTGAGATGCTGAGTAGACTTATGGAATCTGGCACTGGAAACAAGTTGAGAAAACATTTTGAATATTTTTGCTCTTATCTACGTTTTTGTCTGTTTTTGTCTTCTCACACTCGGCCGTTCAATACTTGATGCTTTCCACGCGTTTCAACCTCCTTGAACTGGTTCATTTGGCAAGGGGCCATCCTCTTGCTGGCCATGTCATCTTTTGAACCTTGCGTACGTTTTCATCCTCGTTCTCTTTTCCTTGACAACTTCATATAAGCTCCTTCTCCTATGATCCATCGTCCCCGAGCTATCCTTTGACCCTCGTTTTGAGTTCTGTAATAGTGACAATACTGCTGCCATCGTCCAAGCCGATGCCCCGCCGATTTTTAATTCCTGGTTGGTGACTTCCAACGAGGGATAGAATATATGTAAAGAGAAAAGAAACATGAATAAACTGGAATCACCATCGTGGCGACTGCTGAAAGACTCGTTCATGTCGATCAAGGAAAATAACCGGCCGATAAGAATAGGTCATGCGAAAAAAAGGTCGAAACTCGGGGTGGATATTTGCACTGCTGGTCATGTCTACGGGTTGCTCGTCGGTGGACCAGACGGATCTAGACCGGGGAACTGAGAGGGGTCCATGGCCATGTACTCGAGCAGGTCGAGTCCTCCTACGTTCACTCCCTCGGGGCCCATAGCGACCGACGTGTTCTCGACGTTCTGGAAGAAGGCTGGTCCGGGGGGGAGATACCACATCTCGTTGCCCTGGTTGTTCCAGTCCTCGAAGAGGCTGACATCCATATTTGCCACTGCGCTCTCGACGACATTAGGTGTTGACGGGCCGAGAGAGGCGTTGCCGGGATAGGGAAAGTTCTGCGTCGAGAGATCAAACGGTGTGGCCGAAATGTTGTTGGCTTCATGTGTAGGTGAGTGAGGTCGGTCTACGTGGAGCTTGTTAGCATGTTTCAATATCAGCAACTAATGTAACTTACGGTTTCCGTTAAGCCCATCTCGGAGTCGTTGGGCGTGACCTCCGACCCAGTTTGTACCGTCCTCGCCATCCATGCCAATACCCTCGCCTTCGCCATTTATTCCTGTCTCAGGGACAGGACTCTGACCCTTGCCTGAAGCTTGCTGCATCGTAGGCGCCTGGATGAAGCGGTTTCGAAGACGGCTCGTCAAAGAGTCGAGCAGATCTGCAAACCGGATACCCAAATGCACATCGTCTACAACGCAGTTGCGGAGCGCCTCGACCGTTGAATCCATCAATTCTATGCTCATTCGGACGTCTGATCGAGGGGCACCGAGCGCAAAGGTCTTGAGCAGGAACATAGCACCACTAATGATACGGAAGTATGTTCGGACAGGGGCGTGCTTGAGATAGTCTCCAGGTAGCAGGCCTTCGACAACTGTGCGGAGGAGATTTCGACTTCCCTCAACCACCTCACGGATGTATTCCTGGTCATGCGAAGTGAAACCACCAAGCTGTCCTAGCGGTAGCTTCCCATAGTTAATCATGGTCTGAGGCGACAACTGTGGGTGTCCGTTTTGTGCAGCGTGGTGGTTCGAGTTCGCCGTCACTCCGGCTTGATTTGTGCAGCGCTCGACAACAGCTTGCAGCGAGAGCGAGTTGATGTAGATGCGTACATACTCGTACTCGATGGTCAAGATATGGCGTATGAACTCGGGCAGTGTGAACAGCTCAAACTCCCTCCACCAGTCACGTAGCAGGGGCGCAAAATCTTTGAGGATGTCGACGTATTTGCCATTTTGAATGATAGTCGTCGTGTGCTTCCGGGAACGGAAGATCCTCTCATTACCCATCTCCATAAGATGGCTGATTCCCGCCCAGCAGTGGATGATCTGGTCGTCGAGGTCCAGGTCTGGAACGTAGTTGAAGGCATTGGACAGAGACGAGGGGTTCGTCCCTGGCGTAGTGCCTTCATGTGACACAGGCCGTTGTCGGCGGATGGCAGGGTCCTTTGTTCGGAGTTGAGACGGTGCCATGTTGGTCCAGCCGAGGCGTCCAGCCAGCTGTGTCGTGTAGATGAGTAGCAGCCGCTTGATTCGGAAAGCTCGTTGTCGATATGTTTCCTCCTTGTACTCAGGGCGCGTGATGGCGTCGTCCTTGAGTAGCTCGTCAATATCATCAAAGACACCCAGTTCGTATGCAAGTCCGTTGGCGGTACTGAGCAGCATCCAGCACATCCGATCACTTCTCCATGCAGGCTCGAGCCAGCTCTCGATTCGCTTGCCACCAAAGCCATGGCCTAGGGTCTTGCTCGGGTCTTCATCGGCGGCCGTGATGGGCTGATACCCGCTCTCCATGGGCAGAACCAACTCGTCAGTGGCTTCGGTAGGTGGGAAGTGTAGTGCCCGTGGATGCCACTCTGTCAGGATCATCAATGACTCGATTGTTCCTAATGTCCGCAGACTGCCCTTGCGCAATCCACGCCAAGGCGCTGTACTACTGGTCTGACTCTCGTCAAAGATGGCGCTGGCACTGGGTGGGACGCAGAATCCGCCTCCGAATGCCTCTTGACCCCATAGACACCGCTCGATCATGCCGCGCAGGTACATCCAGAGCTGTTCGTGGATGGCGTGTGATCGACAATGTCCGCCAGTACCCGGCATTTTCCGGTATCGCGATGCGATCGTGAGAAGGGTGACTGTGAGGATAGGTTCTTCATAGAGCAAGGTGACATGAGAGGCGGGATTGCTGAATGTCGGTGGCGAGATGGGTGTCAAAGGGGAAAGGTATTTGTAGTAGCTAGTCAAGTTAGCATGTATTGAATAGAAGTCAGTGAGGTTCAACTTACTAGTCGATGTACTCGATCGCCTCGAGCGCCGTGAACCAGCCAGCACGGACGAAGCGGAAACGCTGCCATGCCTTGATGGCCTCGACATACCCGGGCTGTGAGCTCAGCTCAGGCCGTGACAGCTCAGGATCGATGGGCTGCTCCATCTGAGGAGGCCTCGAGGCCTGTCTGTGATTGCTGGGGTAGTTGTAAGGGTCGTGAGGAGGCTGAGGGGGAGGAGGACGAGCTGATGAAGAGCTCTCTCTGCGTTCATGTTCCATCGCAGGACTGTTCCATGTTAGTAGCTGATGCTTGGACCGATAGAATGCGAGGGGGGGTCAAGAAGCGGAAACAGGAAGGAGATCCTTATGGTCAAGAAGCCGATGGGGGCCGGGGTAACGTACCTGTCCGTAGCCGCCTTATAGAGCAGGTCAAGGGCATCCTGCGGGCCAAACACACCCCGCCGCATCACAGTTTGGGCCTCAAAATTCTCGAGTGTCTGGTTCGCGTCGCCATCCCCTCCAAACTCGCTACTCCTCCTGGTGCGGAGACCCCTAGAGCCGTCCGGTCGGCGTAGAGGCTGGTTACGCCCATGAGAGCCGCCGGGCGTCAGCGGCACATTGCTATAAGCGCGGCGTTCGACAAATGGAGGGGGGCTCCCGCTGACGTGAAGACGCTTGCGGCCATTCCGAATGATATACTCGTCGGCATCACTGCCGTCGTCCTCGGTCTTGCGCTTGCGACGCGTTGCGCTGAAGAAGCATTCCTTGCTCTCCCGTCGGCAGCGCACGCATGGCGGGTCATGCGGGTTATCGACACTGCCGAGGTCGCAACGGACTTTGCGTCTGCGGCAGGGGATGCAGGCCTGGTAAACGCGTTTATGCTGGCCATTCTGGTTCTGGTTCGCAGCCGACTGCGCGGGGGTCTGCTGCTGGCCGGCCGTGATAGTCGAGCCAGCGGGACTGGATTCGGAGGCCCCGGATGCCGGCTGAGTGGCACCGTACGGGGCCATGGTAACTCGTGTGTCCTGTCGAAAAGTGTCGGACCGGAAGTCGAGGCTTCGGGCAGTTCACGGTCTCGGGGACGGAGGCAACGGAGCGGAGCGCGGCGGTGGGGGGTCAGACACGGTGGGATCGGAGGAGTGCAGACGGGCACGGTTTGGGTTGTGCGGCAGCTCAACGGCGCCGAGGAGAAGCGTAGTCGCCGTGCTGGGCGGCAGGCAGCTCAGCGACAAGCTGGCGAGCGTAGTGGTTGGGGAGGGTGGTAGCGATAGAGCGATAAGGGCGATTGGGGGAGCGATGTCGAGGTTCGGTTCGGTTTGCTGCGGTTGAGCAAGGCCAAAGGAAAAGACGTGGGCCGAGGAGAAGCGGAACT